GCGTGTATGTGGGTCTGTCTGTCGTAGGTGTCTGTCTGTAGGCTCGTGCGCTCGTGTGTGTGTGTGTGTGTATGTGTGCGTGCGTGTGGGTGTGTGAAGGTGTATGCGTTTTGTGTTTGTGCATACAGTTCGGCCTGCGTGTGTGTATGTGTGGGTGTGATTTTATTACTAATGTTTTATACAACTGTGATATTTGTGTCTCATAGGCCTTATGGCCGGATGCTGCTTTTAAATTCTCGCAATAATGTACCGTCCTTTTTAATGTTCTGCAGCATGTGACACATTAATAAACTATATTTCTTCTTCTTCTTCTATAATTGTGGTGACATCAAGATAATCATGTTAGTGTTGTTGGCAAGTGTAATCAATATTGCAGTAACAAAGTCGTATATCAATCAGAATTATAGCAGTATATTTAAAAGGTATATGGCAAAATTATGAAATATTGTTTCATATCTTAGCATTTAACAAAAGCAGGAAATCTACCTGACAAAAGTGTAAAGCTGTGCACTGATTTCAAGATTTCCATATTCGTTTTTAAGTTTGAGATGGAATGACCGTAAAGAACAGATTTTAAATAAAAACCTCTAACAAAGTAATACAAATCTTGTCTGATCAAATCATAATCGGGGAAGACAAAGAAATAATGTAGACTGTCGTCAGTCATTGTAGCCACAGTTGGACTCTCAGCTACATATCTAGTTTTGTCGGTGTTCAGATCGCTGCAAGTCGGAGGTGGGCGTGAATGATTTGACAGAATGGTGAACCGTAGTTAACATCGAAGTAATTTGTGTTAGTAACTTTGTAAGTTTTTAATCTCTTTTTGAATTCGCCAAGGGAGGGAGCGCTTGTACTGTCTGAGGGTAGAGTATTCCAGATGTTGACTGTTTCAGGAAGCAATGATTTCAAAATTGGCATAGTTACTAGTTCTACAATTAAAACTTTATAAGTTTAGGTGGTTTCTTAAATTATAATTGGTTGAATCACATACTTTATTTGTTAAGAGAGATGATCAATGTGTGAAGCCCATTTCTGGTGTCCCCGGCCGTGATATTGCTGGAATATTTCTAAAAGCGGCGTAAAATCAAACTCACTCACTCAGTTCTTACCGGATCGTCACAGGTCCTCTGGCAATAAATTCGTACAGATATCCTAGTTGGTTTGTAGTTGAATCACTCCACACGGAACCAGATTGGAAGTTCCTGATTAAGTTATCATCTCTTAGATAATTAGAAACATAGTTGAACACACATTTTTCGAAAATCTTCGCAAGACAACTTGTCAGTGCTGTGGGTCTATAGTTACTGCATTCGTTTGATGACAGACTACATTCGTTTATGCTAACTTTTTATGAATTGGTAGACAGAAGCTTCTTTCCAGATTGCTGGGGAAATTTAGTGTTCTTCAGATGCATACCTTTTGTTTGGACAACGGAGCCGATATAACTGACACACTTAATTTCAATAGTGTATTGCCTATACCATCATGTCCACTAACTAGTTACATCGACGGACAGAAGAATATCTCGAACATCGTTGACTGTTATGGTTATTGATGATAAGAAATTATATTTTTTCTTTGAGAAGGTTGGAAGGTTGTTGCTTGTTTAGCCGAGTGGTTAAAGCGTTCGCTCCTCACGCGGAAGTCCCGGGTTCAATTCCTTACACGGTTACAGCGTGTGAAGCCCATTACTGGTGTTCCCAGAAATGGGCTTCACAGTGTACCCATGTGGAGATTCGAACCCGGGTCTTCGGCGTGACGAGCTAACGCTTTAACCACTAGGCTACCCCACCGCCCCTGAAGATGAAGATAGTGGTAAGGACGGTTGCACCGGCTCGGACCCGACAGCATGGACGTGTCGGCTTGCCTTGTGTAGACAAAATACAGTATGCAATGGTTATAATGAACTCAAAGAGACCACTGATTTAGTTCGAAATAACAGTATGTCGTGGTACACATTTCGACTTAATATAGAGCAAGTGGCTGGGAGCATAGTCCATCATGTCTGTTATAGTTAGTTCGTATTAAAGCTGGTTTTTAATCAGTGCAGTTCACTGTAGAAAATATGGGAGAATATATACTGTATATACATTGTCTGTAGATGTCGAAATATGTGGAAAAAGCTTGGTCCCGATCCACAAAGCGTTCGTAGCGCTGCGACATTCGTAAGCCAATGATAAATTATAGAGTTACGACGTAACGTTACGAACGTTTTGTGGATCTGGACCCTGGATTTCATAATGCCTCAGTTTTGGGCCACTTGATGTAATTTTCATAGACTTATATGTTATTTCAGTGTAGCATAAATAATTGTCATGAAGTGAATTTAGGATGGATCCTTGTAAACTTTGACAGGCAAATTTGAAATCATCTTCGGTTTTCCGACCACTATTTAACTAATGACATCACATTTATCAACTTGCGTATGGTTCCACAATGCACAATCTCATAGGCCGCCATGCTGAAGGAATTCACGGCACTGTACATATGTTGATTAACTTGTAACCCATGCTTATCGTAAGAGGCGACTAACAGGATCGGGTGGTCAGGCTCGCTGACTTGATAGACACATGTCATTGTATCCCAATTGCGTAGATCGATGCTCATGCTTTCGATCACTGGATTGTCTGGTCCAGATTGGATTATTTACATACCGCCGCCATATAGCTGAAATATTGCTGAGTGTGGTGTAAAACCAAACTCACTCATTGTACATGGGTCGGGAAGCGCCCACACAACTCGCATGGGATGGGACTCATCTCGGCTTGTGTTACGTCAAGACGTACGCACCGCATCTTTCCCTACGTATACGGTTACATCCTATCCTGCCTACAGTCCCAATTTGCCTACTTCCTAGTCTGTCATACAGACATAACAGACATATCCAAACATATCCAAGAAAGCCCACGCAAGTCTAGAAAACGTGGCAAGTCTAGATTTCCACAGCTTCTCAGGACTCCTTTTCATTATATATTTTTTTTTACTATGAACTTTTTTCTGTAAAATATGTTAATTTCAGAGACTGGTTTTTAGTTTACATACAGACTGTATCAGAATGGGAAATGTTTTTTGACCTGTAAAATAACAGAACAACACATTTACCAGTCACTGAAGGGTGTCTTGTTGGGTTTAGAGAAGGGTAATTAATGCAGTTTCACTTAAATTAAACGACATTATCAAAAGTTTCCAAGCTGTGGTTAGTCTGTATGTGTACATGTATAGCATAGCTTGAACCTTATAATTAAGATAAATAAAGATACATAAAGACATGTACAATGATATTGTTTGGGAACTGAAACCTTAGAAACTGGAGGCGAGTCTGATTCAGTGATGAATCACGATTTCTTCTTCACTGGAGATATGGGACACAGCGTGTTTACCGTTGGAAAAAGGAACGTTTTGTCCCTAATTGCATTCGACAGGTCCACAGATTCGGTGAATGCGGTGTAATGGTGTGGAGTGAGATATCCAGGACATAAAGACCTGATTTAATGGTGGTTCAGGGAATTGACAGCAAATCGGTACATCAACGAAGGCCATGCACGTCACGTTTCCGATTATGGACCAAGAGAGTGAGTTATTCCAGCATGACAACGCTACCTCACATACAACATGCGTCACGGTCCACTGCCTTGCCAATTCTAACGTCAATGTCTTGCATTGGCCTGCCCGATCACCATTCTTCAGCTGATCAACTTCCAGAATGCCAATCAAAGAAAACAACAACAAAGACAAACCTAGAAACTGAAGGTAGCCACACGCCCATGCGGTTGCCACAGGTTCCCTCCCAAACCATCACCATCCGTGAAGATCCGGGTTAGAATTGGTCTTCAGCAACCCATGCTTGTCGTAAGAGGCGACTAACAGGATCGGGTGGTCAGGCTCACTGACTTGGTTGGCACATGTCATCGTATCCCAATGTGGTAGATTAATGCTCATGCTGTTAATCACTGGGTTTTCTGGTCCAGACTGGATTATTTACAGACCGCCGCCTTATAGCTAGAAGATTACTAAGTGCGGCGTAAAACAACAACCAAACCATCACCCGGATGCACAGGTTTGAATTATAATACACTGATACGTTTTTATATAAAAAGCTACAGTAGATTTTGTTAACATTTGATTGATTTCTTTTCGGCAGAATATCCCCACTGCTTTTCATTCTATTTTATTTAAAACAGGCAACAAGCTGAAGAATAACGTTTTGAAAAATATTGTATATCCAAATTGATGTAATACTGCAAATAACATCTGACTGTGTGAGTTACTGTATATTTTGTTTACTCGGAGACATAAAAGACAATAATCTTCTCCTTCTTCTAATCACGTACAGTTTGTAATTTTAGAAAAGTTGAAGATGATGTTTTCTTTTAAAATGCAATGCAAGACACTTTCTGCCATAACAATGTATTTCTCTGATTGAAAATTCTAACTATTTTAATGAAGAAATATATTCCAAATATCCGTAAGAGATACATGATAGTAAGGTGAGTGAGTGAGTGAGTTTAGTTTTACGCCGCTTTTAACAATATTATAGCAAAATCACGGCGGGGGACACCATGGGCTTCACACATTGTACCCATGCGGGGAATCGAACCCGGGTCTTCGAACGCTGTAACCACTAGGCTACCCCGCTGCTCCCTGAACTATATATTTTGTTTCACTTTTGTATAAGTAAACAAATATAAACAATGTTTTACTGATCTCGTATGCCTTACGGGTGTGAGTCTCTCATTTTTTAAATTGCATTATATTGATAATTCTTCGTACGTGGGGGCAACCTACAAGTCCACTCGTCACCCAAAAGTGCCGGATAAGATTCTTTACGTCGGTTGTATTTCGTGAACCCAGTTTCTGTTGTTTAATCACCGTGATATTGCACTAAACTTGCTGAAACACTAAACTGAGCTCCTGCGCTAAAATTCGACGCAGCGCATCAATAACCATGAACCAGTAACTATCATTGGCCAATCAGCATAGAGAAACAAAGAGTCTCCGGTGCTGTTGTTAACATCACATGGACTTCCTGGTTTGTCGTGGTGCAAAATAATCGGAGAAATTGTATCGATATTTCCTCGTATTTTGTTGAAATATTTGCCTCATTCGCTACTAGGATCCGGTACAACAATGAACAGTTTGATTATTTTAGTAATTGCAATTGTACACATATTGACATTTCTTGAACCAGTTGGAGGATACACAACTGAGCTTGGATGTGCGTTTCCGAAATTCAAGGACTCTGAAAAGGATTATCCCAAACTTAAACCATTCATTGGAAAAAGGTGCTTGCTTTACGAAAGGAAAGTTGTGTATTGTTTGTGGAGAGGACACAGTTTAGTAGGCGACTAAATTATCTGACACCAGTCGCTGATACCATTGATTTTTCTGATGTTTAAAGCAGTCCCATTCATGACCTTATGATAAGTTCCAGTTCCAGTTTCAAGTGATACCTACTGAGACATTTGAATTGTAGACTTTTTATTGCCAACTGTTATCAATTTGGGGGCTAGAGTGCACTTTACTGGGCACAGCCTTCGCGGCTATCTGTGGAGCAAATATCGTGCTATCATGGATGTAGTGCTTCTGTGCACTAGTTCTTTATCGTGATACCGACTCCACAGCCTTCTTCGCCATTTGTATGATCCTAAGAATTTGGTACCCTTTCCGATCCTTAGGGAGCTGACGCATCTTAAGAGTCAAACAAGGGTTAGGGTATGGCACCTTTTCCTATCCCTAGGGTTAGGTACCCTTTGCAATCGTTAGGGTTAGGGTATGGCATCCTTTCCAATCCTTAGGATTACGGTTTAGGGTTTAGGGTTATGAACTCTTTTCATTCCTAAGGGAGCTGACACATATTTTGAGGCAAACAACCCTTTCCAATCCGTAGGGTTTAGGGTTAGACCTTAACTTAGGGCAGTGTAATGTGATTGTATTCCACTGAAACACATTTCGCCCCATCCAGGACTTGTTAATACAGTACCAGTAACAATGTCGAGAACATAAATTGAATGGGAAGGGTGTGGCACAGTGAGATGGTTTGTTTTCATTTCTCTCACTTCTGTCTCACTTCTATGTTAAAGAGCACTCATTCACTGTGATGGCGCTCATGGCCTGGAGGTAGAGTGCTAATTACGTCACTAATTAACAAAGTCAGTTATCTGGCGAAGTGTGTGCACTACTCACTCCCATTGATTTTTAATATTGTGAGGTCTGTAGTGTTTCATTATATGGTATCCCAATGCTTTCGAATTCTTTCTGGAGCTTCCTGCATTCATATAGTTCATACGTGGTTTAAACTCACCTTTTGGTTATGGTTTATTATGTTATGCCTGGAGCTCAGCCAGGGTTTAACATTTCCATCCAAAACATTACGTAACATAAAACCATGTCTACTTGACTTTTACTTTTGAGAATTTGACTGTTTGAACTTTGATTTCCATGGACATTATGGGGTAGCCTAGTGGTTAAAGTGTCCGCTTGTCATGCTGCAGACCCAGGGTCGATTCCCATCATGGGTACAATGTGTGAAGCCCATTTCTGGTGTCCCCGCTGTGATATTGGTGGAATATTGCTAAAAGTGGCGTAAAACTGAATTCACTCACTGATATTTCAGCTACATGAGGGAGGGAGGTATGTTGGCAGTCTTGTCTATGTCAAACGATCCAGTGACTGGCATTGTGAGATTCGATCTGGCAATAGGGACGCTTTTACCAGAATTACTGTTGTATCACGGCTTCAGATAACTAGCAGAGGCTGTATGTTATCAGTGTTTAACAAACAGTTTCGTGAAACCGGGAAACATAGTTGGGTTTAGAGCTACTTTGAACAGTATTTCAGCATTGTTACCAGCTTGATGTCGAAGGAAAAGTCGAAAAGTGTGTGAGTGAGTTTAGTTTTACAATATGCCAGCAATATCATGGTGGGGGGAATGGACTTCACATATTGTACCCATGTGGGGAATCGAACTTGGGTCTTTGGCGTGACGAGCAAACACTTTAACCACTAGACTACCCCACAGTCCGAAAAGCCGAAGAGATGAAAGTCTCGGACGTACATTTCTGGTGTCATTGTATGCAGCATATGCAGTTATGCAGCACTAATTAGCTACAACTGTCAATTGTAACTCTGGCTTCACTAATCTTACATGCCTCTTTTCACCTTAAGGTCAATTGTGTAGTTTTAGGGTTGGTTATTCTTAGCTTTTAGGTCCCCTTTCTGTTCAAGCTCCTATTTAGATCATTAAGATTTGGTATCCCTATGATCAAACACCCCTTTATTATCCTAAGGGTTGAGCACTACTTGACTGATCAAACGCCATGTTACGATCTCATTTAGGTGGTACTTCACTTTTTGTTTATTTCAGTTGGACCCTGTAAACTACAGGTGCAAATTACATCTTATTCTAAGTTTTAACTAGGCTTCATTTTTCAAGTAGCCATTTTCTGTCTGAAACTTGAAACTCGGTAAATTTCTGCTGATTTGCCTCACATTGCATTGGATTTATGTGTTAATAGAGATAGCCAATTGAAAACAGCAAGTTGGAAAAAAAATAACCCCATCTCCACTGCGGTCTTCTTTTAAAAGTATGTAACATACAAAAGAAAATACAGGCTGTCAAATGTTTGATGATTATGTACATCCTTTCATTCCTGTATTTCTAGCTATCAAGTAACCGATCCCTCGGACAAGTATATTTATACTGTTGCTGTCTGTGGTTCTGTTGGCGGACTTGATGGTGTTGGTGCCATACAGACTACTGTAAAGAAGCCTAAGTCAACTGTCATCCTGGGAAAGTATAAGAATGCTGATATCATATCTGGAAGTGAGTTGATTGAATTGGTCCCCAACAGTAATGCATTGGAAAAAATATTTTGCTATATTCTGAGAATACCAGGGCTATTACTTTAAATGATTTAGTGATGGTGAAATTTTTACATGCTATGCTAAACACCTCCCAGAATGATTGATCAAATTTAAGTGCTCTTTTTTACCAAATTATTTTTTCTCAACTGCATATGAATAAAGTATTTTAAGACGAGTGATTTCTTCTGTACGAGCTATGCGATACTACTAGGGCAATATCGTTCATCGTTTTATCAATTTGTCTTATTTATATTTGTCAAATTCTCCACTTTAAGGTATGTTTTGAAAGGTTGGCGGATATGGCGAGCAATATACTACATTCTTCTACATGTTAGTTTTCATGTTAAGTCAATGTTGCGGCATTGCTTTTCGCATTACATTTTATAATTAGTGCCCTTGCATTAATTTTGTCCTGTTAGTGTTACGTTATGTTATACATATATACATTACATATGTATTCACACACACAATACTGCCTGGGATTTTTACGCCTCAAGCGTGTTCTTTCAGGCACACAGTTTTATGTTTTTCACTAATCTGCTTCAGACAGGGGATAATATTTGATGAAAGGTTTCTAAGGAAATCCTTTTATCTTTCCCCACCTACACCTCCCCCACAAGCAATGTTGCTGCACCACTAACGATTCTTTTCTTACTTGTAGCAGCAGCTGCAGAGATCGTCGGTGCAGGCTCTGATCTCTGACATGGTGTCCAGACTCCGAGAGGAGCTTGGTACCCGATCTATGGGTAGAGATGGCACCTGTGCATTATGATCAGGCTCTGATCTCTGACATGGTGTCCAGACTCCGAGAGGAGCTTGGTACCCGATCTATGGGTAGAGATGGCACCTGTGCATTATGATCAGGCTCTGATCTCTGACATGGTGTCCAGACTCCGAGAGGAGCTTGGTACCCGATCTATGGGTAGAGATGGCACCTGTGCATTATGATCAGGCTCTGATCTCTGACATGGTGTCCAGACTCCGAGAGGAGCTTGGTACCCGATCTATGGGTAGAGATGGCACCTGTGCATTATGATCAGGCTCTGATCTCTGACATGGTGTCCAGACTCCGAGAGGAGCTTGGTACCCGATCTATGGGTAGAGATGGCACCTGTGCATTATGATCAGGCTCTGATCTCTGACATGGTGTCCAGACTCCGAGAGGAGCTTGGTACCCGATCTATGGGTAGAGATGGCACCTGTGCATTATTTGGGGGAGGTCCCGACCCAAGCTCCGGCTCCAGGAAGGGTCCGACCTCCGGGATGATCTGACCCGAGCTTTGGCTCCGGGGACGCTCTGAACCTGGGGATTAGCAACGACCTGTGCTTCGGCCTGGTATGGCACAGATCCCCATTGCTGGTAGCTCAGGTCTCGGCCTGGTGTCCATCGACGCCCTGGCCACGAGGCTGTTGAGTGTGATGGAGCTACCAATCACCTCGACGCTCCAAGGTCTACGCTACTCCCATGTCAGGCTACTCCCATGTATCTCGGGACTGGGGTTTGGACTCTATGAACCTAGGGACTAGCACTGACCTGGGCTTCGCCCCTGGTACGGCACAGATCCCTGGCGCTGGTAGCTTAGGTCTCGGCCTATTGACACCTTGGCCAAGAGGCTGTTGTGTGTGGCGGACACTTCGAGGTCGACCAGAGCACGTATATATATGTATATATTCATATGGGTATAATGTATAGGTATTTATATAGCGCTATAGGCCATGTATCTGTGTGCTCAGTGAGCTTTTTTATGTACCAGGGGAACCCTTATTTATCAGGCTACTCCTGGGTGTCTCGGGATTGGGTTTCGGACTCAAACCGCCGAGCTTCGGCCCCACGAATGCTCTGAACCTCGGGAGTAGCACTGACCCTGGTACGGCACAGATCCCTGGCGCCGGTAGTTCAGGTCTAAGCCTGATGTCTATCAACACCTTCGCCAAGAGACTGTCGAGTGTGCTGGGTATCTCGGTCACCTCGACGCTCTGAGGTCTGAGTGCTTGGGGAAACCTGATTTATAAGGCTACTCCCACGTGCCTCGGAACCGGGGTTCGGGTTGAACAGTCGACTAGTCGATTTGAGCATCAGCTCTTTTCGCTACTTTGAGCATTTTACAATGATTCGATTTGTCACTGAGGCAAATGCGAGATAGAATTGCGGCTGTGTTGCCTCAGGTGATGTCCACGAGGAGGGCCCGAAATGTTGCAGTTGCACCTCCCGGGTTGGGGCGATGTTCTGGGCGATCTGCGGTCTCTGTGCAACAAAGTCACAACCTGCACATCAATGTGCCGGAATTGACAGCTGTCAGGTTGGTGTTAGAACCCGCACGGCCAGGCATTCTCACTCTGAACGGGGCGCCACACCCGAATCCATGGATTTAGCATTGGATTTACCTTAACCCCATTTTGGAAGAGAGCCTTATGGCCTTCACCATTTGCCGTACTCCATGGCTATTTCAACTTTTCTCACCCCATTCGATGGTCCTCTGACTAGGCAGCACCCTCTTGTATAGCGCTTCGTACGTAGCTGGCATGAACAGGGTTCGACTGCCTCGGTGGCGACCTAGCCCACCATTAACTTACCAGTTGTTCTCAATTGGCTGTCTGGCCCTGGCTTTTCAAGTCTATTATCTCTCTCACTTCACTTGTTGACGTGGAAGACGGCTTTGCTTGTGGTGGTCAGCTCTGGTAGAAGGGTCGGGACATCCATGCGATATCCACTGACCCAACACTGACAGTATTTCATTCTGATCATGTCAGTAATCGCCTCCCGCATACCTACCACTCTCAGATCGATCTTGCTATCCACGTGACTGCTCACATTGAACTTCCAATGCTTACCTAGCCTTACACATCGGGTTTTATCGAGGCCCTGGCAAAGCTCTCTTCCAAAAAGGAGGGGTGCATTCGAGCCAATAGTTTGCAGTAACTTATGAGCTCGGCAATTTTTCGAGACCTGATCCTGAATCGTGTTCTCGCCTAATCGGGGTAGGAGGTCACGTGACTGGGTGTGATCTTAATCTATATTTAGATTGGAGAATTCCACTTGAATTTGGATTCGTTTTGCCAGACAGAATGCTACTCCCGACTCTTTGGGAGTCTGTCTTATTGCTTATAAGTACCCCAAGGAGGACCTCTTCTGAAAAAGAATCGAACCAACATGCAGAGGTTGCTGATTCTTTGAAGAGAGTCCTCCTTGAGGTATGGTCACCCACTCCTCCACATTCTGTCTGATCACGATCAGCATGGAAAGTGAGTTATAAAGGTTGAAGGTTAGAGTTACCTTCTCTTGGCTGCGGGGGTTGCCATGGGGCCCTGCAGTGGTGGTCGAACAAGACAAAACCGTGTTTTTTGTTTTGTATATATCTTATTTAAGATATAGTTACAACTGTCATAGGAATTTTTAATGGACATAAAATTGCTTATAAGTACCCCAAGTACCCCAAGAATACCTCTTCAAAGTATCAGCAGCCTCTGAAGGTTGGTTTTACGTTTTCTGATATTTAACTCCTTAGCCATGAGTCATCATGTCAGGGCTCCAGATAAATTTTCAACATCAGGAGTACGTACTCCTTACTGTTTCAATGCAGGAGTACTGGAAAACCTTAAGAGTACATTTAGAGTTCTTAATATAATTTAATGGACTATCAGTAATCTTGTGTTTTGTTTCATAAATGCATAACAACATTGCTACTCTGTGTAAACAGGTCAAGAAACAATAAATCAATATTTTTTCAGATGAATACGTCTGTAAATGATTCTCAGACTGTACACCATTGCTGTAGTGCGTATCTACTACGTTTTCTAAATTATTTCCTACCGTATCGTGCACATTTTATATCCGTACATACGCCAGTACGGCCCTCATCTGGGGCCCTGATCATGTAATATGCTGGAATATTTTGACATAATAACCAACTCATTCACCCAAATGCTAAAGAATCTGCTCTTGTTCTTGAACAGTTCAGTCATTATTCACATGGTTTTACATCAATATAACTTGTAATGTAATGAATGATACATATTGTGATTAGTGTTGGGAATTGGTTAAAATCTCATAATTGATGATTGGTTCATTGCAACTGATCAATCATCGAAAATAATTGGTTAGCGTCATGTATGAAATTTGTTAATGCACATTAAAATAAGAAAAAAAACCATGTAGTTCTTTTGTTTTTTTGGGCAAAATTTCACATCTTTAAAGGATGACTAGTATGTTAGAAACATAAATTTCTTGAAGTCTTTAAGATAAATTCAATCATGACTTGAAATGAGCTTGTAGTGCTTACGAAATGTAGCAGACAAAACCAACCATGTGAAAAATATTGTTAATGAAAACAAGTGTTCCAGAATTGTTTGTGTTCGATTATAAGAAAACATGATCGATTGCTTGGTCGTTTAGTCATAACGACCAATCTTCGATTATTTCAATTAATCCGACCACCACTAATTGTGATACAGGATGTATTGTATCATTAGCCGTATATTGCAATACAATGCTGTATCATTAACCCACTGGTACTGAGTCACCTGACACATGATATGGCACCAACCTAGGGAAAATTTATGAAATGATATGATGAGGCCACTTATATAGCACTCCAGGTGCTCTCTTTGACCAGGGCAGTGGGGTAGTCTAGTGGTTAAAGCGTTCGCTCGTCACGCTGAAGGCCCGGGTTCAATTCCCCACATGAAGCCCATTTCTGGTGTCCCCGCTGTGATGTTGCTGGAATATTGCTAAAAGCGGCATAAAAAACAAATTCACTCACTCACTCTTTGACCAATGTTGCTTAACTGCAACTGATTAGTGGCCTGCACTCTATGCATAAGCCCACACACCACCATGAAGAATTCATGAGAGAAATAAGGATAAATATGTGAAAAAATACAGTGGAAGCTGTCTAAACTGGCACTCGTCGGGACTGACTAATTACATACACAAGTATACCCATACTGAATTCAGATTGAATTATCTCTGTCGGCAACCATATAGTTTAAACACAGGATTAATTGGTGAATATATACATGCAGCCGGCTCCTTGGCATGTGCCTTATTAGACAGCGCTGATTACTGTAGAAACACTTATTGGGGCAGCTCATTTCATGCCGTGATCCGGAATTGACAGCTGCCGGATTGCAGAGCTTTTAAATGGTGATAAATGTACAAGCCATGGACAGGACTGAGATTTTATGCTGGTGTTGACAACTTGCCGGATTGGACAGCTGCCAGTTTTGACAGCTTCCACAGTACAATAATTTTGACAAATGTCTATTTCTAAATGAACTACCACTAATAATTTGTGTTCTGTCAGCTGATTGGCTGTACCTGGAGTACTTGGATGGGGAAAACTACAAGAGCCACTGCGGCCATGAAGGGCGTCGAGCAGTCATCATGTTCACTTGCGATGAGTCCATTTCAGATGTAAGTCCATTTCAGATGATGAAGTCCATTTCAGATGTAAGTCCAGTTCAGAACATAACCACAAGCTTGTGTACTTGGGATAGCCCAGTTTAGTAAGTTTCAGTACATTCCAAGCTTGTGTACTTGGATAGCCCAGTTTAGAGTAAGCCAAGCTTGTGGATAGCCAGTACTAAGTCTTCAGTACCCCAAGCTTGTATACCTGGGATAGCCCAGTTTAGAGTAAGCCTTCAGTACCCCAAGCTTGTGTACTTGGGATAGCCCAGTTTAGAGTAAGTCTTCAGTATCCCAAGCTTGTGTACTTGGGATAGCCCAGTTTAGAGTAAGTCTTCAGTATCCCAAGCATGTGTACTTGGGATAGCCCAGTTTAGAGTAAGTCTTCAGTATCCCAAGCTTGTGTACTTGGGATAGCCCAGTTTAGAGTAAGTCTTCAGTCTTCAGTAGCCCAGTTTAGAGCTTGTAGCCTAAGCTTGTATACTTGGGATAGCCCAGTTTAGAGTAAGTCTTCAGTACCCCAAGCTTGTGTACTTGGGATAGCCCAGTTTAGAGTAAGTCTTCAGTACCCAAGCTTGTGTACTTGGGATAGCCCAGTTTAGAGTAGCTAGTGCTACTTGGATAGCCAGTTTAGAGTAAGTCTTCAGCAGCCCAAAGCTTGTGTACTTGGGATAGCCCAGTTTAGAGTAAGTCTTCAGTACCCCAAGCTTGTGTACTTGGGATAGCCCAGTTTAGAGTAAGTCTTCAGTAGCCTCTTCAGTACAGTTTAGAGTAAGTCTTCAAGGATAGCCCAGTTTAGAGTAAGTCTTCAGTACCCCAAGCTTGTGTACTTGGGATAGCCCAGTTTAGAGTAAGTCTTCAGTAGCCTAAGCTTGTATACTTGGGATAGCCCAGTTTAGAGTAAGTCTTCAGTACCCCAAGCTTGTGTACTTGGGATAGCCCAGTTTAGAGTAAGTCTTCAGTACCCCAAGCTTGTGTACTAGCCTTCAGTTTAGAGTAAGTCTTCAGTAGCCCAAGCTTGTGTACTTGGGATAGCCCAGTTTAGAGTAAGTCTTCAGTACCCCAAGCTTGTGTACTTGGGATAGCCCAGTTTAGAGTAAGTCTTCAGTAGCCTAAGCTTGTGTACTTGGGATAGCCCAGTTTAGAGTAAGTCTTCAGTACCCCAAGCTTGTGTACTTGGGATAGCCCAGTTTAGAGTAAGTCTTCAGTAGCAGTTTAGAGTAGTCTCAGTAAAGCTTGTATACTTGGGATAGCCCAGTTTAGAGTAAGTCTTCAGTAGCCCAAGCTTGTGTACTTGGGATAGCCCAGTTTAGAGTAAGTCTTCAGTACCCTAAGCTTGTAGCCCAGTTGAGTAAGTCTTCAGTAGCTTGTGTACTTGGGATAGCCCAGTTTAGAGTAAGTCTTCAGTAGCCCCAAGCTTGTGTATACCTGGGATAGCCCAGTTTAGAGTAAGTCTTCAGTACCCCAAGCTTGTGTACTTGGGATAGCCCAGTTTAGTAGCCTAGGGATAAGTTTAGAGTTCTTCAGTATCCCAAGCTTGTGTACTTGGGATAGCCCAGTTTAGAGTAAGTCTTCAGTATCCCAAGCTTGTGTACTTGGGATAGCCCAGTTTAGAGTAAGTCTTCAGTATCCCAAGCTTGTGTACTTGGGATAGCCCAGTTTAGAGTAAGTCTTCAGTATACTTGGGATAGCCCAAGCTTGTATAAGCTTGGGATAGCCCAGTTTAGAGTAAGTCTTCAGTAGCTATTGGGATAGCCCAGTTTAGAGTAGCCCAAGCTTGTGTACTTGGGATAGCCCAGTTTAGAGTAAGTAGCTTCAGTAGCCCAGCTTTAGAGTAAGTCTTCAGTACCCAAGCTTGGGATAGCCCAGTTTAGAGTAAGTCTTCAGTAGCCTAAGCTTGTATACCTGGGATAGCCCAGTTTAGAGAGTAAGTCTTCAGTAGCCTAAGCTTGTATACTTGGCTTGTGTACTTGGGGATAGCCCAGTTTAGAGTAGGTCTTCAGTATCCCAAGCTCTTCAGTAGCCCAGTTTAAGCTTCTATACCTGCTTGTGTTGGGATAGCCCAGTTTAGAGTAAGTCTTCAGTAGCCTAAGCTTGTTACTTGGGATAGCCCAGTTTTAGTAGGTCTCAGTAGCTTTGTATAGTTGGTATACTTGGTATAGCCCAGTTTAGAGTAAGTTTTCAGTAGCCTAAGCTTGTATACTTGGGATAGCCCAGTTTTAGAGTTAGTCTTCAGTAGCCTAAGCTTGTATACTTGGTATAACCCAGTTTAGAGTAAGTTTTCAGTAGCCTAAGCTTGTATACTTGGGATAGCCCAGTTTTAGAGTAGGTCTTCAGTAGCCTAAGCTTGTATACTTAGGATACCCCAAGTATGTCTCAATGGGATATTTTTTGGCAGAATTGGTCCAAGTACCTCAAGCTAAACACATGAAAGGTTCAGTGCGAGAGTAAGACCACAGTCCTTTAAGCTTGTCCAAGTAGAAATTTGTTCTACCTTAAGCCTAGAAATCTGTAAAAACTGCATCATGAAATTTTGTATATGACTCAAACACATGATCTTCTGTGCCTTTTGATGTTTTGATATTCCTGACAAGACATTGCTTTCATATTTTCTAGTTGCATGCCGAGATGATTATTTTGGAAGAAAACAACAACAAGACCAATGACTGCTACTACCTGTTTGAATTGAGTCATCAGGATATCTGTCCCGCTAGACCGTCCAGCAACCTCAGTCTGGGATCCATCTTCATCATAGTGTAAGTGTACTTGGTACCATGAACAGTCAGACCCCGGACACCCGGACACATTCGTTTTTGCGTAAATCGTTCGGATAACTGAATGTCTGGATTTCTGTCATCCAGGCTTTGGTGTTGAAACGGTATTGAGCATACACTTCTGGGCCCCGTACCTCGAAGCAATTGTAGCGCTATGACATTCGTAACTCCCATATTTTAACATAGACTTACAACTGTCGTAGCTCTATGATCGCTTTGAGGAACAGGGTCCTGGTTTAAAATCACTTCCGAAAAGCATTTTTGATTTGCTGATTACAATTCACTCAGTGTCAGATAGGGCGGTGGGGTAGCCTGGTGGTTAAAGCGTTGGCTCGTCACGCCGAAGACCCGGGTTCGAATCCCCACATGGGTATAATGTGTGAAGCCCATTTCTGAGGTCCCCCGCCGTGATGTTGCTGGAATATTGCTAAAAGCGGCGTAAAACCAAACTCAGTCAGTCAGTCAGATAGGCCTACTAATCACCACCAATACTCTGCTGATCGGTTTTAATCCAGATTAGCAGACCTTGTCTCGTGTCAAGATAAAGCTTCGTGTGGATAAGTGAGTCAGTTTTATATTGATTTAGCCAGTTGGCTTGTAAAGTTTACCGTCTGGAAATGGAAACCGCATATCCTTTATAGACAGTCTCTTTTTTAACACAAGAGATCGTTTTTTATGAAAATTGACCGGAAGGTGAGGGTATCTGGGGTCTCAAAGTACTCTGATACCATAGGTAGTGCGATGCGAGTCATATCCTGATACTGTGGTTTAGGATACTCTTTGTGGGTACTTACTGTGGGTGTGATTCCACAATTCCTATCAAAGTACTCATGGGTGCCATTCCAATACTGATAACCTGACCGCCTCCATGGTGTGGTGGTTAGAGCGTCCGCCCAGAGTGCAGAAGGTCGCGGGTTCGATCCCCGACCGCGTCATACCAAAAGACGTTAAAATATGGTACTTGTTGGTCCCTGCCTGGCGCTCGGCATTAATGGGTACATCAAGGACTGGTGGGCTCGGAGTCAGTATAATGTGTCTGAGTGGGGTATTCATGCTTCGCTGCGGCATGGTATCTCAGTGGGCTAGCACTATAAAACCAGCTTCAGTCTGGGCTAGTACAAGCAGCCGCACATACACATACACACTCATGCACGTCGTCATATGAGTGAAATATTCTCAAGCATGACGTTAAACCCAATTCCACCACCACCACTGATAACCCGTTAAGATACGGGTTCGAATTGGTTTTAATCAGCCCATACTTGTAAGAGGTGACTATGGGGATTGGGTTGTCAGGCTTGCTGATTTGGTCATCATCGTTGTTTTGTTGATATTTCTTTGTCTCAGCAACCTAGGAAGAAACAACTAGAGACAGTGTGGGGAGTGACAACCTCACTCCATGTTCAGGGGGAGCAATTCTTTCTTCCTTGTTGGGAGCATTGATTTACGGATTAAGTTACCAATTGCGTAGATCGATGCTCATGATGTTGATCACTGGGTTGTTATTTACAGACTGCAACCATATAGCTGGAATATTGCATAGTGCAGAGTTAAACAACAGACAAAATTAAAAAAATCCAGTGCTGATACTGTGGTTGCAATGCGGTCAGTCTAAGTAAACTTAGACTCTGTATTTTCTTTACAAACCACCGGAGCGGTGGGGTAGTCTAGTGGGTAAACAGTCGCTGAAAATAGCTTTTTGTCAATATTTCAGGATATCATCTGGCGGAAATATAAGCAAATAGTAACCATGTCATCAGAAACCCCTAAGCGTACACATGCATTTCAAATATCTGTGTTTTATGTGGATTTTCATTTGTTGAGAGATCAGTGTCAGTGCCCGGGGAAGAGAAAATCCATTTTGTAAGTCCCGTCGAACCCTAAATAGTAGCTGTTATCTGATTGGTTAAATCCGTTTGTCTGTCTCACATTTGATTGGACGGTCATAGGTCGCTCAAAGGTTTGCTGGCGCGACATTCTACTAGGGTTTGTTAGACTCAGTATAGCAGTGTAACGAATAATACTGAGCATAAGTTTACTTCGACTAAAATACGATACCTATCCTGGTAAACAGGTGTAATATGATTTGGATCACAGTCCTGGAATTGTTTGTATCATTGCCAATTTCTGTTGGAAAATAAATTTTGGTACAAGACCTATGCAGAATTTGGCAATTATCCTCCATAAAGAGAATTTAGAACAGTTTTAAATGGTAACAGTTGCATGGAGACTTGATGGTCGATGGCATGTCATCGATCAAGTGTTGATCATGTCAATCACTGGATTGTCTTGTCTTGTCATATAGCTGAAATATCATCAAGTATGGCGATTAGGGACTGTTCATTATTTATGGCTAGGAGGGTGATGATGATTTTAATTTAAAGGGGTGGGGTGGGTGTCACCCATTTTGTTCTTGGAAAGTAGGGGTCATCAATTTTGTACACATGCACTGGAGGGAAGTGTGTGTGTGTGAGGGGGGGGCAGCAGTTTTGTACATGATAATATTAAAAATTATGGTAAAAGGGAGGGGGGGTCATTGATATGTACATGCATGGGGGTCACTTACTTTGTACATATATTTTAGGTGGGGTGGTGTCATTCACATTGTCCATGCTTTTCCATAAAAATCATCATCAACGCCCCCTAGCCTTAAGTTATGAATGGTCCCTTAATAAAGATCAGATAAACACAACCAAACAGTCAATGTCTCTTTTGTTGCAGCTTGTTCAGTTTGATAGCTGTGTACCTCTTCTTCGGCTTCTTGTATCAGCGCTTTGCTCTTGGTGCCAAGGGAATGGAACAAATACCCAACTACAGTTTCTGGGTGGACTTTGGCAATTTGCAGGCGGTGAGTGGCTCCGTAGGACGGGTTGGAGGGATGGCGGTGGGGTGGGGGTGGGGTGTGTGTGTGTGATTTAGGGGCAGAATAGTTAGAATCTTCAGTAACCCATGCTTGTCGTAAGAGGCGACTAATGGGATTGGGTGGTCAGGCTCGCTGACTTGGTTGACATATGTCATCGTGTCCCAGTTGCGTAGATTGATGCTCATGATGTTGATCACTGGATTGTCTGGTCCAGACTCGATTATTTACAGACTGCCGTCATATAGCTGGAATATAGCTGCTTGCGGCGTAAAGCTAACTTTACTCACACTCCCAGAAAATAGGGGTCTCCAGATCACCATACATCATCTGAAACTAATTAAATTTTATTAATTTCATTTTAGATTCATCAGAATTAAATTTGAAATATAATTTTAAATTCCATAAAATATTCTTGGTCATCTATAACAACCTGTAAATGCTGCTAAAAGGCAAAAATTATATATATATCAAACAGAACCTAAATTGTTACCTTTTGCTATTTACAGATTTTTGGCATTTTTATTTATCTGGATTTCCATGAAAAAATTTGGACTTTCTCTCACAAAAGGATGGATTTCATTTATGGAGCATAACTAAAAAATCACTCAATATCTATCAATAAAATGAGACAGATCCCAAAGTGGTGCCCTTTGCTATTTGCAAATTGTAGGCTTTTCTATTTTTCCTGTTTTCCATGTAAACGATTCGAACGTAGTCTCAAAAGGTAGGGATGGGCTTCGTTTCTGGAGCACAACTTGAAAACCTTTCAATATCTAAGAACAAATCATCTGGCAGATATGTAAGACAGATCCCAATGTGGTGCCTTGTGATATTTGCAGATTTTTGGCATTTATATATTTCATGATTTCCATGGGAACAATTTGGACTTAGTCTAACAAAATCAAGTTGGACTTAAAGTAACTGTCAGATGATTTGTTCTATCAAATTTGTGGGGCCGGAGGATTTGTCTTCTTCTGATGATTCTTGTTACATGATCTTACTAAAATGCTGTCAACAGTAGAGACAAACCCAGCTCACTCACTCACTCACTCACTCACTCATTGTGTGTTGTAGGATGGGTGTAACTTTGTGTGTCGGAGTGGAGAAAACCGTGGACCGAGGACCTACAAGGGTGTAGGGGATGATCAACTGGACGATACTGAGGAGAGAGATGACCACTTGTTGCCGATGTAGTTGGGTGGCGAGCAGTGTCTAGGGGTGGGTAGCCATTGGTGGGGTGGGGTGGCTAAGCGGTGTCCTGGGGTGGGTAGCGATGGGGTGGGGTGGCTAGCGGTGTCTTGGGGTAGGTAGCGATGGGGTGGGGTGTCTTGAGGTGGGTAGCGATGTCTTGGGGTGGGTAGCGGCGGGTTGGGGTGGCTAGCAGTGTCTTGGAGTGGCTAGCGGTGTCTTGGGGTGGGTAGCAATGGGATGGGGTGAGACAGGGGAAGGATGAAGGTCAGGTAGACTTATTTGCCTTATGGGGTCAGTAGAACCTTGGATATGTTTGTTTTTGGTTTTTGTATTTTGCAAAAATAAACAATTTTTAACAAGTAGACGACATCGAGTTGCATTGGAGTAAAAGACAACCAGACTTGGGGGTAAGGATCTGGTCCTGATTTCTCGAAACAAACTTAAGTTTTTACTCAAATTTCAAACTGAGTTTGACAATTTGAAACAACTGAAGTTTTAACTCAACTGCATTTTTAAAATAAAAGCCCAAACAACTTAAGTAATCTATCCACTAAACTCTAATTGCCTACTATGTTTGAGTTTAATATCGATTTTGGTTCTTTCTGGGAAATGCATTCTCCTGCCTTTTCTCAAATTTGAGTAAAAACTCTAACTTAAGTCATAATTCAGACTTAAGTTTGTTTCGAGAAATCGGGGCCTGGAGGCATAGGGAGTTGTAAAGGCTGGACATAGTAATGGTGTTTATGTTCAGGAAGATCTTTCAATACCTGTCCGTTCTACAGCACCTTTACAGATGAAGGAAAACTAAGTTCTATGGATAGTCAACTTCTTTACAGATGTCTCAAGCCTCTCCAGATGTCTGTTGATTCTCTGTCGATGGCGTGGGATTCTATGTCACAACAGTGTTCGATCATTTAGGGGGGACTCTATTTTTGAATGTGGGGTTGGGGTGGGGATGGGGGAGGAGAGCAGAGGGGCAGGTGGATCAGTGCTGCAGCCAGACCGCGTAATTGCGGGATTTCCGCTAATTGTACTTACCTTTGCACTTTATTTATATTTTTATAATTTTCAACCCATTTTTATTGGGTGCGTAATTAATTTCAATATTTTTCATTGAAAACTATGTCAAACATTTGGAAATCAAAATCAAATGTTGAAACTTCCGGAATTCAAAACAAGGCTTCCTAAGCTCTCCACATTGTGAGTACGTCTATTTGCATACTAAACTGTAATATGAATCGGAGCTTGAGTTTATGTACCTAGTTGATCATAGTTTTGTCACGTTTGGTTATTCTTGCACATTTTCTAAAGGTAGGGGCTAACTGGTGCTTTCCAAGGAAATCCTGGCTGCAGCGCAGGTGGCTTGTTTCTGAAAGGTTCTTTCAAAACATAGAGTTTGATTTTGAAGAAATTGTTGAAATATTTTGTTAATTTTCATGTAAATGTTAAATCTAAGGTGTATATTGAACAGGTTGCTTCGGAAGGAGATTAAAAGAGTGGTTGTCAGGAGTTTTCTTTCATTTTTCTCATCCAAGACATGTTTTACTTTTATAAGAAAGAATCCTGCCACCCCAAAGACTGACATGTTACTGAATGAAAGTGTCCTTGTTTGGTTGATTTTAGACTAGGCTCACAATGTGAGTTGTTTGACACAAGCAGTCAAACATCATGTGCTTTAGTCAAACATGCTTTGGACAAGTATGCTGATATAATTATTGTTAACGATGTGAGACCTGAATAAAGGCTTTGTGTACATTCCAGGAAGAATCATGACATTTGACTGTTGTTTTCATACAGAGTGAAAGTGTGTTATGTGCATTTATATCATCGGTGTATATAAGTGTTATATCACCAGAGTTGATTCTTGTAGCTCATACTGTGTACATAGACAGGTATCAACATGGGGAGATCAGGGAGTGAAATTATCTTAAAATATTCCTGGCCAGGTGGACTTGCCGCCAGTTTCAGATATCACTTGTGTTATGATCAACATGATGTGCATGAAAAATTAATTTTCGACAATTAAATTTTACTTGCAGACTTGGTTTGTAACAAACTATGTGCAAAGAAACAAATTTCAGTCCCTTGAATTTATCCTACTGATGTTTAGCTATATTTTAAATGTATGAAATAACTACATGCCCATGGTTTCCATTTCATTTGGGCTACACTGAATTGTCAGGTCTGGACCCGATTATTTACAGACTGCCGCCATATAGCTGGATTATTGCTGAGTGCGGCTTAAACAACAAACAGACAAACAATGAACTGCTCTAAAGATTCTGAAATATTTATATTGAATAAGCCATAACATTTTGGGGGATAATCAGATATGTCATTAATTGTTTGATCAGCATTCTAGAAGCTGGTGAGTCAAAATGAAACATACAACTTTATGGATGAGATTGACAACTTCTTGTTTATTGCGTTAAGCGACGTTTCGATGTAGATTCATACATCACTATCAAGCTAAAGGGATCTACATCAAACGTCGCTTAATGCTATAAACAAGAAGTTGTCCTCGATAAAGTTGTATGTTTCATTTTTAGATGTGTCATTAATTTCAAATATACACTTACTTTATTATAAGAACCAGGGCCTAGATTTTCAAAGCTCTCTTTGCGCTAAGATAGTCGTAAGTGCCATACATTAACATTAACTTACGACTATCTTAGCACTAAGAGAGCTTCGAAAATCTAGGCCCAGTTTTGTGTATGAAAAGTGGGTGGTATACACGTACATGTCATTGTGGTGCTAGTTTCTGTTTTCAGTTACAGCTACTTACAAATACTGCATCGGTAGATTTCACAGTCATGACATTTTCCAATAAATTTGTGATGTTCCACTGTGGGCAGTGAAGGAACTAAACGGTTCACTGTGGGTTTTCATGTTGTATGGAGAGCTTGTAACAATAGAAATCAGAGGGGGCTTTTGAAATTGTTGGTTACAATTGTTGGTACATTATACCAGTGTTGGTTAAAACCGTTAGCACTCTGTATTCATGTTGGTTATGATCGTTGGTACGTTGTATCTGTGTTTATATGAACCATATTCTACTGTACAGTGAAACTGAATCCTTTAACTAAATACAATTCTGTGGTGTGTTTGGATTATTGGTTAATGCATTTTGTATCCTGAGTTGTATTGCTATCAATACAAGTTTGATACAGTTTGCGATACTGGAGTTGTATGGATACAATTTACAATTACTTGGGTTGTACTGATACAGTTTGCGATACTTGAGTTGTACTGATACAATTTACAATTACTTGGGTTGTACTGATACAGTTTGCGATACATGAGCTGTATCGATACATGTAGGGATGCTTGAGGAATGCATTGGTACATGCTTTTTTTCCCATTGTTTTTACGTGAACTTCTCCGTGTTCCTAGGGTCCAGCTAGGATGATGTTGTTAGTATCTACCAGATTGTATTTATCTTGAATTACTCATATAGTGTTTTCTAATTTATTATGCAGTCAGATTTAGCATTTTCATTTGTGAAAAGGTTAGATTCTACTTTTCTCAGGCATGGTATTCCAAATATTCTAAGCGTTTAAATTTCGAAATTTTTTGAATTATAGATTGGATTGATTCTTTTTATTCTGTTTTGCGGGATACATTGCTGAACTGTGGCATTGCAAGTGCAGCCTATATCAACTGCCTAGTAACTGTTGTATTATCAACACTTGTACTGTCCACGACTGCATCTGTTTGGAAAATATAACTCTTTTATAATTTTTCATGGTTATAAGTGCCTCATTTGTCAAATTTCCATGCACTCAGGTCTATTATTGTGTTAAATATGGTATCAAGAAAGTGATATAAAATTCATAGCATTGGATTTGTTTAAATTCTGGCTAGGATGATAGCAAAGGAATTGAAACAAATTTGCCCTTTTGGTAGTTAGAAATGCTTTTTAAAGATTTTTTAAATTGAAAATCATGTATTTATTATAATATTGTTAACTCTAAAATTGCCTTACTTTTGTTGATGGATTGATTGATGAATGTACATTTTGATTGACCTGCATAATGAACAAAGATAGTAGTACTAGTTGATGTGATAGTTATTGATTTCTGTGTTCCCCAGGAACATGTTTTCTTGTTTCTTTGTCCTTGTTTTCAGTAATAATTTGTATGTTTAGAAAATATCCTTTAGCAGTACATACTTGATCCTTCTGTAATGTTAATAGTAGTGTTGGAATCAGAAACAAAAGTCACTTGATTATCGGAGGATTGTGGTGAACGATTATCGATTATAATTGAAATATATAAATTTTTAATGTAATCACAAATTTTAACGTTTTTTCCCCAGTTGTTTCCAAATTAATGTGTGTTTTTTATAACTAATACTGTCATGCAATGAAATGCACGCATGCAAGAAAGACACTGGAATTGTAATTAAACAATCAAAGTGGTTAAAATTTTACAATGTGCCTAGCTTTACGCTGGTGAGCGCATGTTTGTTCGTGAATATTCGTCAAATTTGATGGTTGGTTTACTTCATTCAAGGGTGTTATACAAAAACAACAAAATTCTGATTAATTAAAAATATATTTTTTACAATCGATAATCATTTTTAATCCTTCTTTCGATCGATTTTTCGATCGTCGGAACATCACTAGTTAATAGAAACAAATCTACACTCATAAGAATGTTTCACGTGTTTTGTATGTTGGCTCCACAGTGCTAAAACTTGTCATCATAAAACATGAGTAAATAGCAATGTTTGCATTGATTCTGTTATCAAGTAGTAAAGTAAACGTGTCGATGATAGAGTAGGAATATCTGAAACTGGTTTGACATGATGGAGACAGACTGGGGCTGAAGTTGACTCATTGTTAATGACACCAGCTGTCTTGGCACCAGCTGTTTTGGCACCAGCTGTGTTCTTGACAGTAATGGTTATCAGTGCCTGATTTGCATTTAAATAGAAATCTATACTATCATCTTTACTTATCATGGTCAGGGCTGATTGGTAACACCAAAGGGCCCTAATGATGGATTTAGTTTTAAATTTATACAAAATTTATACCATTGACTGTATAAATATTTTCTATTTAAGTCAATGTTGTGAATATAATTCAGGAATTATTAATATATTTGATTTTTTGCTTAAAACCTACAGCATATAATTTTGCATAGGTATAAAACAAAATAGTTTGTTTCATATTATTTTTTATATTTAAAGTTGAGTTAAAATAAATTATGATATTTTGTTTTAACTATATCATTCACCCCTGAGTTCTTACTTTGTTTCATTCACAGCTTTCCCATTGAGGTTAGACAAAATTTGAATCTTGGTTTAAAAACACCAAATCCCCAAACAGTAATAGAGAAACAATCAGTAAAATGAATAAAAAGCCTCATTTGTCAATATTAACCCATAATTTACAAAACTATAATTAAAATCTGATAAAGTCTTTTATCTGAAATACTCAAGTTCCATGTTACCTTTTCTTCCTTAATTTTGAGGTACCCGGTAATAAAAAATATTTTTTACTCAATTATTTTTTCTTTATATTTTTTACCTACCAACTGAACAACTAAATAGTGTCAGTGCTTTAGGGCTTGTATACACTACATCTCACCATTATAGGATGACAAGGGATGTACCTGTCTATTGTGAAGGTATATGTCATTGTATCGTGAGGAGATTTGAAATAAAGTTATGTAGTAATAAAGAAATAAAAGGTTCAGATTTTTCATGATTCATATTTTTGTGCTAATCCTGATTTTGTATTCTTGTACAGGTTGAAATAAACTGAGTAATACTCATAATTTAGAGCACAGCTGTTGTCCATTACATATTTACAAGAATATAAATAGGAGTGGGAACTTACAGATTAATTCTGAAATTATTTGGTTTTGGTAAAGAATTTATTATTTGGTGACAGCAAAACTAGATATTTCTGTGAAGTAGAATAATTATGATACCTGTTTCTGTGTGGATGGGTTTTGTTGTAGTGTATAGGATTTAGTGTTGGTAGTTTCTACTTGTATATTATAGGGTTATATTTATCGCGTGGAATAACTTGTTTATTTGTTCGGAAGTTTGCGCAATATTTGATGTATATGTGGCATCAGCTTATTCTGCTTGACATTGGGTTCTGGCTCTAGCTGTTTCAAGTTCTGAAAAACGATCAAATTCAATCATGTTTCGTTAGAATACCCTCACCACCCTAATTCTTAGGACTGACTGACTGACTGAGTTTGGTTTTACGCCGCTTTTAGCAATATTCCAGCAACATCATGGCGGGGGACACCAGAAATGGGCTTCACACATTGTGCCCATGTGGGGATTTGAACCCGGGTCTTCGGCGTGACAAGTCAACGCTTTAACCATTAGGCTACCCCCCGCCCTTAATTCTTAGGAATAGGGTAGCATAGTGGTTGAAGTGTTCGCTTGTCATGACAAGGCCTAGGTTCAATTCACTACATAGGAACAATGTGAGAAGCCCATTTCTGGTATACCCCGTCGTGATATTGCTGGAATGTGCCTGTATACAAGGTGTCACCAGTGTCAGTTAAGTTAGAATTTAGCTTTATTTGATATAGAACAATTTTCCTGTGTTAGTATGAACATAGAACCATTATTCTTGTTTTGCTCTGTGATGCTGTCATATTGCTCACATTGGTGTAAAAGTTGCTTAGTCAGAACATGTCACTGAAGAAACAAATCAAATCAAAGTGTGACTGTTCTTGTGGATTGAGTTTAGTGACCGATATATGGTTTTGTCTGGGAACAGCTTATCAAGATGTAGATGCAGAATAGTGCTTTATCCAATGTGCAAGTACAGTCTAAAAACATCTTTTACTCACATATGATAGTGCTCTTCATGAAGGTCTGAGGATATTGCAGGTCATGTCCAGTGACATTTCAGCTCAGCCAATCAGAATCAAGCTTCGAAAATTCAAATTCTAAATACCAGCAGATTTAGTTTTTGTGTCCTGAAAACATATATCAACCTTTTCTGAAAGGGGAAGGGACTGCTATTAAAGGTATGTCTGTATTTTCTGTATCTGGGCCTAGATTTTCAAAGCTCTCTTAGCACTAAGATAGTCGTAAGTGTGATACATTAACATTAACTTACGACGATCTTAGCGCTAAGAGAGCTTCGAAAATCTAGGCCCTGTACTCTAGAACAATATTTAGGGGTAGTGAAGCAGGCAGATATTAAACTACTGTATACTACACATAAGAAATTAAGAAACCACCTGCTCATTTCATATTACTAATCAATGACAGATCAAGTATGGCCCTTATTGTCTTTTGAGTAGTATATTTATTATGGCCTTAGAGATTCTAGGGTACTAGTAGTATGTCATGAAGGTATAGTACTCAAATTTTGCTAGGCACCAAAATATGGTCACTTTAAATCAAAGGTGTGGTCCTTGGCAACTGTTGAACAGTAGATCTGTTTTTGTAGATCTATCTGAAGCTTTCCATCTTTCTAAAACAAAGCCAACTGATATTCTTCCCATGCTTGTGTACTTCATTCATTCATCTATTTGAGAATATGTGCATTTCATTGTGGATGTTTATATATTTCTAGCAACTCATGCATTTGATCAGAAGTAGCATTGAGAACAGCGACATGACATCAAGATTTTGCTGCTAAAGATTTGGAAAGAAAAACTCCCCAAGGAAGTGATCACATTTGGGTGTAGATTTCTTTGGTTTTAAAGATGAAGAGGATCTAATTATTTCAGACAGTAAGACAGGTCTGCTTTCTAGGACTTTGAATCTTGAACATGACAAGATATAACATCTATTTACAACAATGAGTAAATGATATAACAGTTCTCTCGCAGTAAGCCTCTTTAATTTTGTTTAGACATTTATGTACAAGGATATCATTAAGTTCGTGTTAGTTTAATGTATTTTTATATTGGTGTCTTGTGGTGATGAATAACTGTTCTCATGATTACTTGAAATATTTATCTGATTCTTTCTTAACACTACATAGTTAATCTACCATGCTATGACCAATTAACTATGGTTCTGTATATTCTGTGTCTGTGTAAAATCATCTGCTACCATCTCAGTACTTCTGCCGTGTGTATTCTGTATCTAGCTGACAAGTATCACTTGATTGCCTTGGTAGTTGCTGTACATATTTACAAGGTTGTAAATATGCAAAACAATTCTGAAAATGTTTTCAAAGCCATTATGTCCCAAATTAAATATTAAAAAATTGATATAAAATCATGAATATGCTTCTGCTCAACATTCCTCCAGCTGTTTGTAGTTTATTTCTGGAAATTAACAACTAAATTGGCAAAAACTTTTGATTCAGTATCTGGTGAAATTTATTTCAAATTTTCATCCTTCATGTATGTTTGCCTTATTCCAATGCAGATTTTTCTGATATATAAAGTTCAGTTTCGTGTTATATGTACATTATTGATTATACCACTGCTGTTGAGTGACCTACTATGCTACTCAAAAAAGGTTAAGGACCATGTCGTTCTTTCATGTTACGAAAGTTAATCTGTTATACAATGACAGAATAGCCACAAAGAATTAGGTGGTCTTTAAGTTGTTTTGAGCTGCATTTGTTTTACCTGTATATAAAATCCTGAAACCATAAACCGACACTGATGTATGTCTCTCTCTGTATTATATACACACTCAATTATGTGGTTGAAATAAAGTATTCATTTTTCACAGTTCAAGGCTGTTGTTTCATAGGACAAGCAGGGGTTGCTGAAGACAAATTCTGACACATTAAAAATATTGAGACAGTTCATTGTTTGTTACGAAGGAGGAGTGCAGAGAAAGGGACAGCCAGGTGTTCGAGAAGCACGTTCACAGACAAAGTTATTGATTCATCAACCTGTGCTGTGCCGTCTCCATCCGTTCTCGAACACCTGGCTGTCCCTTTCTCTGCACTCCTCCCTCGTAACAAATAGTGGACTTTGTCAATATTTTAATGATAGATTGTTAAAAAAACTTTTTTATTTTTAGGACAAAAATTCTGCAAAAACCTCATAGTGGGTATGATGTTTTGATTATGATCAGCGTTTCATTGAGTATTTTCTGTTTATTAGTTTTCGAGTTAGATTGCAATTCATTGGTCCGCTTTTGAGCCAAACAGACTATAGCTATATTGATGCATGTATAACACAATGAACACCATGAACAAAGGTCTACTGTGCAGACCCACTTTGAGGATAACTCCATAGGAAGTTATAAAACACACCCAACACCCACCCTTTAATTTTCAGTGAGTTGGGGTTAACACATTTAGCTTTAAATAGGAGAAAAGCCTGAAGTGATAGAAGTCTCATGTGTTTACCACTTTACCGTTTGGCTCAAAATCGGACCAACTCTGTGATTTTGTTACGAGGGAGGAGTGCCAAGAGAGGAACAGCCAGGTGTGCAAGAAAGGATGGAGACATACGGCACAGGTAAATGATTCAATAACTTTGTCGGCACTTGTGCACGTGCTCCGCGTACACCTGCAATTCACTGGTCTGCTAGCCAAATGGACTATACCCTTGACTAAACACCCTCAAAACTTCTTAGCAAGCGATGTCATCTCCACCATCTTTTCATCAACCACTTTCCTCACATATTTAAACAAGGCAGTATTATGGATAGCTAAGTGTTAGTTCTGATGACATTTATGTATTTAACATACAGGGATGAATCAGAATTAGGTGCTCAAAAACAAAACAATTTCTTTGTTAAATGTTTAATATATATACAGAATGCCACTTCCTTAAAGGAAGCAACATCTACCACTTTCACACAAAATGATTCCTCCTCTGTAATGGTGGAACTACACACAAACAATTCAGCCATGGACCAATTGGTTTTGAAAAATATGTATCGATCAGATAAGTAGAAGACACTTCCCATTCATATGCGTCTAAATGTTTAAATTCTATGAGACTTGACCAGCTGTTAAACCACCATTGGGTTTATCAAACTGCCAAGGAACAAGGAATCCTCAGCAATAACCTGACAGTGACAATAAGAAGAGGTGCCATGGCTTAAGTGTAATTGTCTAGCATCACGTGAGTTATCTGGTTCCTTGTAGTTTGCGGTCATATTCTGCTGCCTCCTTGGCACGGTCGATACGGGATTTATCCATGGGTACATAGTACCAGCCCTTGTAGTCCTGGCGGGAGCTCATGAGATCCTTAACTTTCTGGTCAAGAAGCCTGAAATAACAGTCTTATTAGTACAGTTGGATACTCGATGCATTTTAAGATTATGCTGACTCAGCATTATCTTGATGGCCTGTAAAATAATGTCGTCTTGACCACTTGGTTGGTTTGTTGTTTAACGCTGCACTCAGCAATACTCCAGCTATATGGCGGCCGTCTGTAAATAATCGAGTCTGGGCCAGACATTCCAGTGATCAACTGCATGAGCATCAATCTACACAACTGGGATACGATGACATGTCAACCAAGTCAGCGTCTAACAATATTCCACCGACATTACAGCTAGGGACACAAGAAATTGGCTTCACACATTGTGCCCATAATGGGGAAATCGAACCCGGGCCTTCAATAGACATGCAAAAGCTTGAACCATTGTGTCACCCACTTGTCAATATCTCAGTAAAAGAAATACTGAACGAGTGAGTGAGTTTAGTTTTATGCGCGCACTCAGCAATATTCCAGCTATTTGGCAGCAGTCTGTAAATAATCGAGTCTGGACCAGACAATCCAATGATCAACGGTCAACCACGTCAGCGAGCCTGACCACCAAATCCTGTTAGTCGCCTCTTACGACAAGCATGGGTTACAGAAGATCAATTCTAACCCGGACCTTCATGGGTAAAATACTGAATGACATTGAGTGAGTGAATGAGTTTAGTTTTACGCTGCACTCAGCAATATCCCAGCTATATGGTGGCGGTCTGTAAATTATCGAGTCTGGACCAGACAGTCCAGTGATCAACAGCATGAGCATCGACCTGCGCAATTGGGAACCGATGACATGTGTCAGCGAGCCTGACCACCCGATCCCGTTAGTCGCCTCTTACGACAAGCATAGTCGCCTTTTATGGCAAGCACATGGGTTGCTGAAGACTTATTCTACCCCGGATCTTCACGGGTCCTGAACGACATTGAAGACCAATAGGAAGCAGACTTAAGTGTTGTACACTACGTTCACTTAGGTGAAATCCACATTTGTAACTGGCAGATCAGGGCCATGTTCCACACAGGGTGAGTGAGTGAGTATAGTTTTACACTGCTTTTAGCAATATTCCAGAAATATCACAGCTGGGTACACCAGAAATGGGCTTCACACATTGTACCCATGTGGGGTTTTGAACCCAGGTCTTCGACGTGACGAGCAAATGCTTTAACCTTTAGGTTACCCCACCGCCCGTTCCACAAAGGGATCATAGTGCTAAGGTGATTGCAACTACAATACTTTATCATAGATTTACGATGACCGTAGCACTGCAATCGCTTTGTGGAATGGGGACCATGGTTATAAGGTTGGATTCAAATCCATAATTAGTAGATCAGGGCTCCAGATAAGGGCCGTATCGGTGTATGTACGGATAAAAAATATGCACGATACTGTTGGAAATAATTTAGAAAACTTAGCAGATACGCACCACAGCAATGGTGTATGATCTTAGAATCATTTACAGACATCTTTATCTGATTGTATTGTTTTATTGTTTATTGACCTGTTTACACAAGAGTAGCAATTTTGTGGTGCATATATGAAACGAAACACAAGATTATTGATACGCCATTAATTTCCATTCAGTACTCTAAATGTTCTTACTTTTCCAGTACTCCTATATTGAAAAAGTAAGGAGTACGTACTCCTGATGTTGAAAAATTATATGGAGCCCTGATGGCTTATGCATCTACTAGTAAACAGATAAAAACCATGGTACCACATGTGTCCCACCTATCAAAACACATTTATACTTCTTTGGTTTCAAACATACAAATAAAAATCTCACTTGAATTTTCTTTTCTCATTCTGATCATGTAAAACATGAAGCGTTCTCTCGTATCTCTGCTCTGGTGATTCGTAGACGTGCTTAGCCAAGAAACGTACTATAGGACTCTGAAAGCAGATATTTCATGACTATTTACATCACAATGTTAAAGAATGAAAGTTACAGCACCTATGGCCGATAGCTACGAGTGAGTGAGTGAGTTTAGTTTTACGCTGCTTTTAGCAATATTCCAGCAATATTACGACGGGACACCAGAAATGGGCTTCATACATTGTGCCCATGTGGGGAATAGAACCCAGGTCTTCGGCGTGACGAGCGAACGCTTCAACTACTGTCCTTCCGATAGCTATGAATACACAGTGCCATTTAGAAAGTGGTCAAATGTAATATGTTATATTTGGGATTACACTTTCTCAGTAAAAGTACAGAATCTATACTTTTGTTGGGTTGAGTCTGGGTTTCCAGGATTCGAACCCACACTCTCAGATTCACTTATCTAATCGCCAGCACACAATCTAAGCCTTCTAACCCACTCAGCCATCATGGTTTGAGTCTGTGTATCACAGATTCGAACCCACACTCTCAGATTCACTTATCTAATCGCCAGCACACAATCTAAGCCTTCTAACCCACTCAGCCATCATGGTTTGAGTCTGTGTATCACAAATACAACATGTGGTACACTTGACCACTTTCTAAATGACATTGTATATATTCATAGCTTTCAGCCATGGGAGCCATGCCAATTTACACTTATCACAGGGGTGCACAAAGCCAGTGGTCTGGACTACCAGCTGACTGTGTTCCATATTTGTGGAACTGCGGTGGCTGACTTTGTGTGCTGGCAATTAGGTGCCGGACTCTTGAGAGTGTGGGTTCGAATTCCGGATGGGACTCAACCCAAGACAAGACAAGACAAGACAAGACAAAAATGTAATTTTCTGAATAAAATTGATATTTTATACTTATCCTGACTCATGCTCTTTTGCTTGTCTTCTTCTTCTTGCGAACATAGTGGAACACTTGTATCTCCTATTGAAGCTCTCTTCAATAAAGAATAGACGTAAAATCACTCCTACCAAGAGTTATCTCTCCAGCCGTTTTAGGCGGGAAACTGTGGCGCCACCGTGCCCACATGCCTCACTCTCTCCTGATTATAAGCCCGACACTTGAATTTGTAGGGAAATCCAAAGTGTCTAGTGGGGAGGCTGGGTGGGCTTACCTCATGAGTCAGGATAAGTATAAAATATCAATTTTATTCAGAAAATTACATATTTTCCTTATCCTGACTCATGCTCTTTTGCTTGTAGAATCCGACGGAAAAAGGTGGTGGGAAAAGCACTTTAGGATTTCTTTAGTGAATTTTACGTCATTATATACCCCTCACGGGAACTTCGTAATGGCACTGTATTTACTGGTAAACTCTGCTGCTGTTGCTTAATTCCTGACCTTCCAGCTGCCTTTAAATGGGGGACCACAATAGTTAACTTTTGGTCCTTTCTTCTGTTAACATTTTATGTGGATTTTATGACTCTATCTCTTGATGCAAGCACCAAGTGGAGAAGCGACCCATTCGGTACAAGTATCCTTACAAGTACTGGGTCATATCACTTATGCTAGTTGTTAGACGTGCATTGTGACTTAAGCAGAACTCCGCTGAGTATAACTTAGTAAGTCATGCGATAAAAGGGCTGAGACTTCGCCTCAGCCATGTAGTGGGACTGTCAATTGTTGTGTTACAATAAGTGGGCGAAATGGTGAATGTAAGAGCCGCCCTCAGTGGCGATGTCCCTCAAGTGGTGGTTGGCAAACACCATGTCCCATTTCCAGAAGCAGCCCTCCATTATCGTCCCTGATAGAGCCGATTCCCAAGTATAGAGAGCTAAGTCAGAGCTCTCACTTCATGTGGGTTGGAGGCTCTTGGAGGATCCAGTCCTGCTGCTTTGTAGGCCCGTAGGATGACAGTACTGATCCAGCTTGATATCTTAGTGCAGAAGACCTTCGTCTGTGCCGCTGTTGATATCAAGACCGAAAAGACACTTGAATTTCCGTCTCATGGACCTGGATCGTTGTAGGTAGACTTTCCATGCTCGTTACTGGGCACAAGGATAAGACCTATGTATCCTGTGGTCCTAGGGCTGATGATAGCGTTAGACGGGAACTGTCTGTCTGGATGACCTGACAGTTGATTCTTTACTATGAAGTCCCATCTCAGTCTCATATGCACGATATTTGATTTGTATCAAATTGTGTTCTCTCAAATCCAGAGCATGTATTTCCGACATCCTTGCTGCTGTTACTAAGGTTATCAGGAACAGCGCTTCTAATCAGAACTCTAATGATGTTCTCTGTAATGGTTAAGTAGATGTCACTAGTGAGATGTCGAGAACAACGCTTGAGGTCCCATACGAACTTTAAATCTCTGATGTTGGTCCTCCAATTAAAAGGGCATAGTAAGGCCAGTAACTCTGGTACTTTTGTCAGTTGCACTCGTCCTCATGACGATAACTGATCTCAATGCCCCAAGTATGTTGAGAGTGTTGACCCTTTTAACCGCTTCCTTTGTCTAGGTGACAAAGGTAGTCCGCCACTTGAGGATGTGTCACTTTCATGGCTGTGAAGCCAATCCTCGAAACGTATCTTTTGTCTCAAAGCGTCACTACTTGTCGTCAGACAAGTTGCGTGAAGACTTGCGTAAAGCTAGTGTGACTGCTTTCGCTGCTCTGGCGAAATATCCTCTCTTGTTCAAGCATGCCTGATACCGTCCACACGTGTAGCCGAACACCTCCGGGTTGCCGTGGCGCCTGCTTTGTGTGAGGATGTACTAGTAGATTCGCATTAACTCTGGTAGTTGCAGTAGAGGCAGTCCTAGGTCTTGTATGAGAATAGGAATTCATATTCTAAGCTGGTCAAAAGCGTGCCCAAATAGTTGTGGGTCTCTCGCCTGACTGATTTCTGTAATACCCTAGGTATTAGAGCTGGTGGAGAAACACGTAAGTGTTTAGTCCTAGGCAGGAGATGCTTCGCACGTCCGTTGCCCCTGTCCGTGGATCTGGTTGAAGATCTCTGAATGTAGCATTCAGTCTGTTGAGAATGGCTGCGTTGGACAGGATAGTGTATCTGCTAACACATTCTTGGTTCTTGGAATGTGGCATACTCTGCTGTGGATAGTCAGGTTGACTGTTATGCTGATCAACTGAAAGCAGAGGTCCAGAAGGTTCGCCAACTTTGTTGATCGTTCTGTGGATGTAGACCGTCACTGTGGAGGTGACTGTGTGGACCGTTAGATGAGCATTTTATAAAAAAGCTGATCCGGTGGAGTATGGTGTTTATTGCTGCTTTCATTTCCAGCCTCCATTTCAAGGTGTGCTCCCACTCTAGAAGCGATGCGTCCCCATAGAGATGCATCTTGTACTGCGACTCCGCTAATTAGGTGCGTCTGCAAACCTCCTTGCATGGAGTTCACCATATATAGATTTGGGTTATAATCTGTCCGGATCGTCCGGTTGTACATTCATGAAGACCAGTAGTGGGCGTAGTTGTAATTCTCTTTGCATGTCTTGTGCTGACGTGCGAAAAACCAACCGATTTCGCCACTTCGAACTAGCCGCGCTGTGATGTCACCGGTGTAGCAGGAAAAAGATCCTTGTAGAATCTAGTGCCGTCGTTGATATCTGATCAATCGTCGGTCTTGTCCGTAGCTTTCCGAAGTTACACGAGTGACCACGTGTGTTGAGGGTTAAATGGTAAACGCGCGAAATATTTCGCCGCGTAATATCGATGCTGGGTAGGCTGTCTACTTCAGTCTTGAAGATAATGCCGTCGTCCTTATACATAGGCTCAATTGAACTTTCACGTTGTCAGCTTGTAGACTGCATACATCAATGAAGCGTCGTAATTGTAGAATTAATGCTGAACTTGTTGTAAATTTATTTCTCAGGGAATCGTTGACGACTACGTATTTATCTGGCTGTAGCAAGGCTGCTGTTGAATCCCGTCATTGAGAATGTCTGCAGATCTGTACGAAGGTGAAGATCTCTGTAAGGCCATGAATCTTCTAATGTAGATATATCAATCTATGTGAATCCCGTCCTGGATTCCGTCTGAAGATCCGAGCTAGTGATGAATTCTGACAAGAGTACCTCTCTGTATTATCTATCTTCAGTCTGTGTACCGATGAAAATTTTGCCCTTCTAGGATGACACTACTTCGTGTCCTAGTTGAATAACCTTGACGATCTGCGTAGTGATCTGCGTGGTGGTCGCTTGGTGTGACTGTATGGCGCCTTGCATGTAGATAATCGTCTCGTAGTCCCGAATTGCCTACCTGGCAATATATCACGAAATGGTGATTCCCGTGATGATCTGCGAAGCGTTGTTGATGCCCTTGATGTAGGTAGTCGGTGTGAAGATCCTTTATTAGGCTCTTTATCTGTTGACAGTCTCTGAAGATAGCGCCGTCCTTCGCGCAGCTTGTAGACTAAAAGTAGCGTTCTGTTAAGAAGTTAAGTACTGCAATGTCTCTGCCTTGTGGATAGCCTGTGCAAATGCCTTCGCGCAGGCTCGGTGATGACATATAGCGTTCTGTTGAGAATGTAAGTACTGCGGCGTTTCTGAGTTGTAGATGGCCTGCGCGAATGCGTTCGCGCAGGCTTGTAGACGGCATGCGACGTACAGTTGAGAGACGAAGTACTGCGATGTCTCTGCTTCGCTGGAGACCTGTGTGACGACCTGCGTGAAGACCTTCATGGAGACCTGCGCGGAGACCTGTGTGGGGATCTGCGTGGAAATCGGCGAGGAGATCGACGTGGTGAATAGTCCGACGAACTGTGCCTGTAGGGTGACCTGTGGTTTCGCGAAGGTCCTGGTGAATCCCTCGACGATCTATAGGACGAAGATGTCTTGTATACTGTAGCTGACGTCGTTCGCGAAGGCTCATCTGTGTCCGCACTTGGGGAGTGGTGACTGGTCCTTCGCGAAGGCTCATCTGCGTCCGCACTTGGGGAGTGGTGACTGGTCCTTCGCGAACGCCTTCGTGAACGCTGGTCGTCCAATTCTGTATCCGGGGATGGAAGAATTCTCCTTCGCGAATGCCTTCGCGAACGTTGATTCCGCATCTAGGGGATGGCGACTGGTCCTTCGCGAACGCTGGTGGTCCGACTCTGTATCCAGGGATGGAAGAATTCTCCTTCGCGAATGCCTTCGCGAACGCTGATTCCACATCTGGGGGATGGCGACTGGTCCTTCGCGAACGCTTCTGTATCCGGGGATGGCGATTCCTCCTTCGCGAATGCTGATCGTCCGTGTCCGCCGCAGGGGATGGTTGAGTCGACCTTCGCGAAGGTTGGCCTGTAGCGTAGATCTGCTGCCAGATGTCACGTTGATGGAAGGTCCCTCAGAGACGATGTCTGCGTTGGAACCTTCGCAAAGGCTCGGTACCTCATTGTGGGCTGTGATTTCTTCTCCAGGCCGTAACGCTGTTCATCTCCTGCATAAGGTCCCCCCGGTTTGAAGGTCTGCGGTGGTGGTAGCGCTGCCCTTTCTGCGCTGATAGCGGCGCGGGCCCACAGGACGCTCATCTGTTGTCATCGTAGATACCTCGGTACCGCGGAGATCTGCGCTGAAGTCACCGTGAGCTGACTGGTCGTTACTTGTGATGAACCTCTGGTAAGATGATCGGTTGATCATCGGAGAGTCCCTGTAAAAATCAACGGAACAATCTCGGCAGAGAAAGTCCTTGTAGTCTCGCGCAGACGCCCCGCAGAGTTGTCGCCATCTAAGGGGTGTGTAGCCTTCTCTGGGTAGAGGATGGCGCCTATACATCGCTCTGGGCGATGATTGTAGAGCTGCCCTCTCTGCGTTGATAGCTTATATGGTCCGGAGATCGCCTCCTCTGTCGCCTTCTCGGACTGCCTGCTGTATCTCTGGGATGATCAGCAGTGGCTTATCATGAAGCCCTCTCACTGGCATCAGGATGAGGCTTCATTCTGCGTAGGATGCATGCGTCTTCTACGCTCTGCGTTGAGGGGTTTTCCGATGTAGAAGCCAATGTCTTCGGCGGTTATGGACAACATCCGCCCATCCCTCTCGAGGACATCTCGCAGGTCACTTGATGGTAGTAAGTCGCCTAAAACAGTAGACAGCTCATGAGGGACTCAGCCAGTTACCCATGACTTGGAAGTCACCTGGATAGTTGATAGTACGCCTAAGTACGGAGAAAAAATTATATATTAATTTGAATTTCAATTAAAAGCTGATAAAGATTACAGCTATAGCTGGAAGTACATATTGTTGTGTAGCTAGGGCACAATCAACGCTGGGTCTGCAAAAATAAGTTCTTTACCCTTCACACGAATTTACTGTACATCGTCACAGAGCTCACATGTATAAGAGTTTTAATATCAATAGATACATAAATAGATAAATAAGCAATACCTTGTTAAAAGACAAGAAACATTCTGCCTAATTATTATAAACTCTATACTTGATGGAATAAAAGATTTTAAAGCCCTACTTGATTTTTGTTTTGGAAGCTGATAATGGTGGCCAGATGGTAAAAGTTTATACTCAGAGTGTAGTACTTAAAATCAAAGTACTAGGATCTGTACTTTTACTGAGAAAGTATAATCTAAAATAAAACATGTTACATTTGACGACTTTCTAAATGACACTGTGTATTTGTTAGGGATGCATCGATACTTTTTCTAAGACGATACAACTATCGATACATTCAAAACTGTATCGATATTTAGTTTTGAAAGTATCGGTTTAAATATGTTTATGTATCGTTACATTTTGCAATTTGATGTTATGAGAGTTATAAATGATAATTTTTCATGCACAAAGATGGGAAATTAGAACTTTTTAATCCCTGAGAATAAAAAAATGTTGATCTTTTCATGGACAATTATAAAATATGAAATATTAATGTTCAAAATGTAACTAAATTCATGCCATAATGCTGCGAAAATAGGTATCGTGATATGTATTGAATTGTGACATGGGTATCGTGATACATATCGATTCATGAAACTTATGTATTGTGACATCCCTAGTATTTGTATCAAGATACAACTTTATTGATACATCAGTATCATGTTTGATTCCATCCCTACCTTATGGTATTCCCAGTGTTTGGGTTCATAGTCTTCAGGGACGTCGGAGAGCTCAGCTGGCCCTGTAATAGAAACAAAAACATTGATTGATTGTTTGTTGTTTGTAACTTTGTAAGTCCTGTACAAAAATAGATTTCCTACAAGATAGTTACATTTCTGCACCAAGTTGTCATTGATGCAAACAATTCCATGACTGTGAGTGAATTTAGTTTTACACCCCACTCAGCAATATTCCAGATATATGGTGGCGGTCTGTAAATAATCGAGTCTGGACCAGACAATCCAGTGATCAATAGCATGAGCATCGATCTACGCAATTAGGATATGATGACATGTGTCAACCAAGTCAGCGAGCCTGACCACCCGATCCTGTTAGTTGCCTCTTATGACAAGCATGGGTTACTGAATATCAGTTCTAACCCAGATCTTCACGGGTTCCATGACTGTGATCCAAATCGGATCAGGATAGAAATCAATTGCAACCATAGTATTTTTGGTTTGGATTTTGTTGTTTTTGTTTGTTGATTAACACTGCACTCAGCAATATTCCAGTTATATGGTGGTGGTCTGTAAATATTCGAGACCTGATCAAACAATCCAGTGATCAACAGCATGAGCATCAATCTACACAATAAATCTGCAATGACGTATCAACCGAGGCAGCAAGCCTGACCACCCGATTTTATGACAAGCATGGGTTGCTGAAGAAGATTTCTAACTGGAATGGAAGATTTCTAACTCGCATCTTCCCTGGTTGAAACAAAAACATGAAATGAACAACAATTAGAGTGAGTTTGTGACTTGGAAGAACCCAGTCTCATTAAAAACACATCTTAGTTCTCGCTACTGTTTTATAACAAAGATTTCAGGCCATGATGCTATGGGTCACTAATGATACTATATGTGTCAACCAAGTCATTGAGCCTGACCACCCAATCCCATTAGTTGCCTCATACGACAAGCTGGGTATTCAGAACAGTTACAGGCTGTACAACGGATTCAGTCAAATTCTTGTTCACTAGGATGAACATTTGAAACGGAAGACTCTCCATATCCTGGGCATCACATCACTAGACGTTTCAATAGTTACATACTTGACCACAAACTTTCATAGAGAAAGCCCAATTATCTACCGATGGTGTACTTTTTGCATACTGAAGTGTGGAGTCCTGGGAGCCTATTCACAAAGCATTTGTAGCGCTACATCATTCGTAAGCCAATGATGTAGTATAGAGTTAAGATAGGTCGTAACATTATGAACGTAACATTATGAGCGAAGCTCTCTGTGGATCAGGGCACTAGACTGCCCTCCTTTTATGGACACCCCTCCTTATGTGACCTATTATCAGAAGTGAAAGAGAATTAGAAATGTGGTAGTAAAACTTCTAGTATCAAATCATATACTTGCCAGAGGCAAAATGAAACTATTGCACAATGACTGAGTGAGTGAGTTTAGTTGTACGCCGCATTCAGCAATGTTCCAGCTATATGGCGGCGGTCTGTAAATAATCGAGTCTGGACCAGACAATCCAGTGATCAACAGCATGAGCATCGATCTGTGCAATTGGGAACCGATGACATGTGTCAACCAAGCCAGTGAGCCTGACCACCCGATCCCGTTAGTTGCCTCTTACGACAAGCATGGGTTACTGAAGGTTCATTCTAACCCGGACCTTCACGGGTCCTATTGCACAATGATCTAAATCCGCTGACTTGTGTAATAATGTGCTTTGAGCATGATATTCAGCATGAAAAAAGCATCATACAAATAGATTACCAAGATTGTTGCTGTTCTTATTTCTCAAAGTTCGTTGGATACATGAACTCACCTATGAAGACATTGGCATAGAAGATCAGCGCCAACATTGGTACCATGCCAATAACAATGAAGAAATGCTGAAAGTCAGAGAACTTGGAGAATTAGCCATGAGGGGTACTTTGGATGCCATTTCACAAAGTTGACACAACGCTACGACTGTCATTAACTCCCATGTTCTTACATTGACTTACGACAATCATAGTCTCATGATCGCTTTGTAAAACAAGGCCTTGCATCCTAAGACATTATAATGTGCAAGAGGCAAATGTTTCCCAGTAAAATAGTTTCCTAAACTTTATGCCCCTTTTTGAGTGAGGTATTTCGTCAGGGAAAAATTCAATTTAGAAATTTTTATGACTTAAGCAAATTTAGATAAGACATATTTCAATACCATTACAATGATTACCAAAACTTAAAAATATCTTGGGATGACAATCAGTCAATACCCAAGAAAATGAATGGATTTGAAGGCAAGAGGTAATTTTATTTTATATCTGATCCTTCTTTCAGCAGCTGCTGAAAGAATTTTAACTCACAAACGTTTAACTTAAAACAACAACAACAATTAAACTTAAGAAAACTAAGATCTACGAACCATGTCATCCTTCCATCGCTCCCACTCAAAGCGGGAAGGTACAACTTCCAAGGTCTTCTTATGGTCTCCCATCTGCCGGACTACAACTAAAGAATAAAGCACATATTGTCACGATATCTTGCTTAAATGAATGCATGAACAGTATCACTGATCATACACCCTGTGGATTCTTCAGTTCATGTTATGTTTACAGCTTAACAGCTTAATATCTAACCTGTCCTCTAACCTTAGCCTTAAGGATAAATAATTTGTGTTTGAACTTTGATAGTAAAGGTGTGTCATCTTCCTATGGATTGGAAAGGTGGGTTGATAGGAAAGGTGTGCTCCCTAAGGATAGAATAAGTGAGTTTGATAGCAAAGGCTTGTCAGCTCCTCAGACCATGGGGGGAGGGGGAGGGGGGGAATGTTAAAGATCACATATACCCTACGGGGTACAAATACATATATCACTAACTGGCATCGTTATAAATGAAACCCCGTCATTAAAACTACTCATTCGACCTTTAATTGACTTAAATCGACCTTTTTGACAACAGTGCACAATTCTCACCCGCGAACGAAATTTCAACCAATCAGAGCGGCGCGTCTCTGTGACGTCATATGAGGAATAGCTTTGAGGGCCGATGCAGAATTCATCTACATTTTAGGGGTAAATTATCTTGTTTACAGGCTTGTATAAACCTGAAATCGTGACAATTGTTGTGGAAAATGCAAGCTATATGTTCTCACAATCTACTGTCATTTAATTTTGTCTCCTGCTTTGCCTAGTTTCGAAGTTACAACTTGTTTTCATAGACGATTCTGTCAAAATCGATTGGTGTCGTTAGGGGCCCTATTTGTATAATGACTGATCCAAATTGATCCCATTTCTGTGTTTTTTTACCTCGATATTTAATCATGTCATGTAAAAAATCTGTTTGTATTCTCAAAACAGTGTCGGCCCATAAGTTTTCACATGCAATACAGCAATTAATACTCCCTTGTTGTAACCCGTGTTAGGTGGTATAAACCTACACATGTTATTTGTCATCATTCACTTGATGGTCAGTTAATGAATTTATAACAGGTATAATTAGTGGTAACACACTTAGATTACCCGACAAAGGTTCCCATTTGGCATTTCTTGTGTCTGGAGTAAATATTCAACATTATAAACATCGATCAAAGGATTAACCGATAACACGCTGATTGATTAATTACTTTATCTTACACAGCGGAATTGTCAAAAGGTAGTGTTTATGTATGTAGATTTACTAATCTATACTGAATACACTCTGTCGTGGTCGGTGTTCTGCGTAAAAACAACGTCCTTCTTTCAAAGGATTAACCGCAATACATTGATTGATTGCCCATTATTGGCTAACTAAATTACTGTTTTAAAGAAAGGCGGACATTATGCAATTAGTTGCCAGGTGTGCTATCTTGGGTGACCAATGAGACTATACACCAATACCTGAAAAGATTTATCACTTTTTTCAGATATTAAACTGTTAAAAGACACATCATTTGGAACAGTTTTGTGGATATTGATGGATACATTCCTCTAACAAGGTAATGGCCTGATATTGTTCCTATAACTTTAATCTGTTTTAATTTTAATATTTGCATTTTGTTTTATTCATTTGTCGTAGCATTCAACAGAATCATTGTTTTCGCCCGTGAAGTGTAATGAGACAGACAACATACACTAGGGTGTGTGTGTGCGAATTATGATTCACATTGGCAAACTATAAAATGTCTAGATATTACAGTTCTGTTATAAATTCACTATAAGTATCAGCAGATCGCCTGCTTTTATTTAGTTTCAAAATGCATACAAGTTGATAATAAACTAATAGGATTATAAGACCAAATATAAAGACGCATTACTGACTAGCATCTACATACTGGTGAGTGGACATTAACCATGGGAATGTAGCAAGAAATTTATCGCAGAGTATTGTGACTTCTGACCCCTACCTCGCCTCCTCGTGGAAAAATCGCTATGTTACAAGTTGTGTCATGCAAAATCCTTTTGGTTATGATTCCAATACATATTTAACTATTCTAACTTGATGAAAACAAACTATAATCTCATTAATTCTAACAGACTTTACGATTTTCAAAATGGCGGCCCTGTCGGGAACATCCGCCAGTCTGAGGATAAATGCTATTTAGGTTTGTTTTCACCGAGTTACAAAATCAAAACTACTTTCTACTGGTAGTAAAATATGTATTTTATTGATGGCCAATAGGATTTTGCATGACATAGCGTATAACATAACAATTTCTCTCCTGGCAGCAAGGTGGGTGTCAATATAATACTACTTACAATATTATTGTTACTTCGACCACAACCTCACTTCCGAGGAAGAAATCGTTATGTTACAAGTTGTGTCATGGAAAATCTTTATGGTCATCAATCATACACATATTTTACTACAACTAGTAAGTAGTTTTGATTCTTTAACTTCCTCGTGAAGCGATCTGAACACAAGTAAGATATCGTTTCAGGCTTCCACAATGCTAAAACCGCTCACAAACATAACCCATTTAGCAATCGAACTGCAGGGTCCTGTGGAAATTTCTGCATGGTGACACCATCGCCCGACCCCTAGGAGCAATTGACCACAAAGCGATTCGGCATGATGTTGTTGATGTCGAAAATCATCAAAATGATGAGCGTGCTACACACTTTCTATACAACTAACTGAAAATCGTTCCTCATATGACATCACTGCAGTGCTCTGGTGACAGAGTTACGTAACCTGTCTGTGGTTTCGTTGGCGGGCGAGAGGGAAGCAGGCGACTTTTTGGCCACTTTTAATCGCTCGGTATTAATTAACCACAAGTTTTTAAAGAATAAATTTGGTGTTCCGCATAAGACTAACCACAAATCTTTCATATGTAATGGTTAAAAGAGTAACAAAAAACAAAGTTTATTGGTTCTTTAAGAGTGGGCCATAGTAATGCTGTAGTGAGCCATTGCCAACTACTTGTTGTAAACTGCACTCTTGCCAAATTTCATTAACAGTGAAACTTTGTTCACTGTTTTGAGGTGGCTTTCACATCGCTTCCAGCAATATTCAGCACTATCTGGCTGGGGAATGCAAGAAATTGTTTCTCACAGTCACATAATAAACTTTGATGATACGAACGCTTTAAACACTAAGCAACTCTTATGACCCTTGTTAACATGGGGAGTACTGCACTTTACCGGGCGCACTTTTTCAGATTAATTAGCACTGCTGGGGTTCCCTAAATTCTAACCCTAAGGATCGGAAAGGGAGCAGCGAGGGCTGCGTCCGGTAAAGTGCATTCTAGCCTTAACTTGAATATAATGACCCTTGTTAATAATAATAATAATAATAATAATAATAAGGGCCTGATGATGTACGCCTCTCCGTGGTGGGCCTAGATAGGGGAATTATATTCCCTGAACCAAACGTACATCACCCAGTTAGGGCTGACCGCCCGAAGCTGGTTTTTCACTGGGTTACTAACAGCCAAGAAGAGTATAGTCTTTCACTTCCGCGAGCCCAGTCAGCCTTCCTCCGGTAGTCAAACCAACCTTACTGGAGATGGGACTTGCCCCAGGGGAAGGCACAGAACCCGCCAAGAATATCTTGGTCAAACCATCTAAAATCCACACTACTAGAGTGTGCGAAGCGACAGGATGGCCTGATAATCCACGAATAAATGGCAAGTCGCTAAGCTGCATTGGGACAATGCCATGCCCATGTATGCTTACCTGACGGAGCAAAATCTTGAGATCAATTCGCTGCTGAAAAATCTCTTTGCCCCGTGAGCCAGTTCAACCCACAACTGGTGCCCGCCAAGGAACCTTTGCATGAACAGAATGCTCAAGGGCAGCGGACCGAAACTTCTAATGGACGTCCGTGTCAACCTCTTTTTCCTCTTGCTGATGGGAACTCTTCCCGACAAAGAGCTAATTGGCCCTTGGGAATTTCAGACCTCTCACTCTTCCCTCTTCTTCAGTTGCAGACCTTTCCGAAAACCCTGTGTATATTTTGTTTTCATTCTATTTATGATGAAATATCTGGCATACCTTTAGAAAATCGAGGCCAATTAAACAAACAAATGAATCTTTTCCCAAAATGAAATCAATTTATTAAATGATATTATTTCTATGAAACTTTCATCGGACTGTTCATTACATGAAGTTAATTGTTGTGTCTATGCTGCCGCCGAACCTTGGAGGAAATTCACACAGTTTCCAAAGAAAAACATCTAACACTAAGAACAAAACACCAAAGAAAAAACCGGTTTCAAGTAAAACTAACGGAAACTAGAAAATACATTTCCTGGATAGAACTGTGCCTGAAGTTAAGATCATCAGGGAGTCCAATGTCAAAACGGGCAAAAGTCAATTTGGAGAAAATTAAAATTACAATACAAGACAACAAAAGAAAAGGTACTTCTCCAAATTGTCGATTCCTTAAAGGCAAAAATAAAGGTTTGGACTGAAAGAAAGAAAAAATGGGAAAAGAAAATAAATTCATCAAACAAAATAAACTTTTAGAACCAATGAAAAACACTTCTATAGGCAACTGAAAACAAAAGGTGATGGTGAACATGACAAGCGGCCTCCCCATGGATGCCAATGAAAGGTTCTGGAAACAGTTGTGGTCTGTACCCGCAACTGTAACCTTGAGGCACCATGGGTCCGTGATTATGACCATGCAATGCATGAGAAGGTAACTAGGTCGTTTTGTCTGTTACATCTCACCAGATTGCCTGAAAAGTGTTATAAAAAGTCCAAATCTAATACAGCTCCAGGGCCTGATGGCATTCGAAACCGTATTGAAACTGTTCCCCCTGTGTCCAAACACCGTTACTACACTGTTACAATACTCGTGGACACAGGTGATGTTCCTCCATGGTTCTGCAAAGGTCGCACAATACTTCTCCCCAAGAAAGGAGACTTGACTGATCCCAAAACTTCCGCCTCTATCACATGTTTGAATACACAATACAAAAATATTCACAGGGTGTTTGACAAACCTCGTGTCATCTTACTGCTCTTCCAATGATATCATTTACAGAGAGCAGAAGGGGAGCAAGAAAGGGATGTTGGGGGTGCAAGGATCAACTTCTTGTACAGAAAATGATTTTGGAAGAGGCTAAAACTTATCACCGCTTAACCTCTCCATGTGCTGGATTGACTACAAAAAGCATAATTCTGTCCCTCACGAATGGATTCTGAAGTCTCTTTCATTGTATTGACCTCCCTGGCGACTACTTGATTTACTCAAGTCTTTGATGAGTTGCTGGTCGACTCAACTTGAGATGTACTCACAAAGGGCAGGTTCAGACTTCTCGGAATCTATTCCAATCAGAAGGGGAATATTTCAGGGGATTCCTTTAGTCCTTTGCTTTTTTGTCTTTCTCTAAATCCTTTGAGCTTTCTGCTCAATAAAGAGGAGGGTTACCATCCCGACCTCCTCAGCACAGATCCCGAACACCTCTTACTCATCTCCTTTTACATGGATGACATCGAACTCCTTGCCAAAGGAGATTCCAATTGAAAGAGCAGGTTCTCCTTGTCGAGTCCTTTTCTAATGATATTGGCATGACATTTGGACTCGACAAATGTAATACTCTTCATTTGAAACGTGGCAAGGTAACTAATGATGGATCGGTCAGGTTACAAGGGGAGGAGTTATTGAGCATCTTGTGGAAGATCAGGCCTACACCTATCTTGAATGCAAGTTCGAGACAAGCTCCAGAATGCCCAGATTCAAGAAAAACTTCGGGCTGAGTATAAATCTCTACCGTTTAAAGAAAATCTGGAGCTCAGAGCTAAATGCTCGAAAACAAGGTCAAAGCCACCAATACTTTTGCTGTGCCAGTCCTCTCCTATTCCTTTGGAGTAGTTGACTGGACAAAAAACAAGACATCCAGAGTCTTGACCATCTGACCAGAAGGATCATGTCTGATAACAGAGCCCACCACCATCGTTCCTCTCTTAACCGTTTATACATGCCAATCAATTCTGGAGGTCGGGGTTTGATTAATGTGGAGGCTCTTCATGACAGAATTTTATTGTGTACTTTGCACATATTTATTTATCGGATGATCCTCTGGTGATGCATGTGAAGACTCATGATGAAAGCAAGGAATTCCACAGTTATTTTAAAGCGTGCCAAGGTTGTTGGACAGAATCTGAGATTTGAGGTTGACTTTGCTGATGGCAATGTACTGCTGGATGGTACAGCCGATGGGAGTAAACCAGGTGAAGTCCTTTACCAAGTCTGCCCAGAGTCGATTGGATTTTGTGGAGAAGCTTTCTGAGAAGCCATTGCATCGCACCGTGTACATGCAGTGTGTTGAACAGAATAGCAATCCCACCCGACTTCTTCGCCTGGATGAAGTCGGCTGGTCTTAAATGTGAAACTGAGGGCTTCCTTTTGCTGCTCAGGACCAGTCACTTCCCACTGTGAATCGCCTAAATGTGATTCTTAAAGAGAATATTAACATGAAATGTCGACTTTGCAATGAATTTACAGAGACTGTCCAACACCTTGTCAGTGGATGCCTTTCCTTGGCACAAACAGCATATCTTAAACGACATGATGGCATGGCTCGTTGCTTTTACTACCGCCTCCGACATGCCTGTGGCTTTTGACTCGAGGTCCATCCATGGTACGAATTCTGAACATGTCCAGGGCGTCATGGAAAATGATGCTTTCAAACTTCTGTGGAATAGGCCCATATACAGCCTCAGAAGAATTCCAGCTAACAAACCTGATATAATAATAATAATAATGTGTCCATTTATATAGCCAAACTCCACACTAGGTATGCTCATAGCTGATGCTAACAATCAAGGCACAGCACATTATTACCCCGATAACCCAAGCTGCCTGTTAGGCGCTAGAAGGTTATAGTCATATGACTTTTTTCCACCGGGTACCCATTTTCCTGCTGGGTGAACAGAGACAATTTTGAACAAACTCACTTGCCTAAGGTGAGACCACATGTGTCACATGTGCTTCGTTGTGGGGCAGGACTCAAGTCCTAGAAACTCTCAGGAGTCAAGCTGCCAAACACGGTCACCCATCCAAGGACTCTCCGAGCTCGACGCTGCTTAACTTCACCGATTTGTGACCTGAGCTTTGAGCACAGGACCACGCGCCACCACAACTTGGTGGTGCTAACTTAAAGTGACCGTTATATTCGCTTAAAAGCTGGACAAGTCATGCTTTAACCAGAACCAAAACGCTGCCAAAGTTACTGACTAAAATATATGCAATTCTGGAACTTCTACCAAAGATTTGGCCAAATTGAAGAACTGTTGGCAATGACATTAATTTATGCGGAAGAAATGATTTCTGAGCAAGATCAAGGTTTACTGGGAAAGATAACCGGCAAAGTCTGAGCTCGTCCTACAGTTTATGTTAGTAAATAAGTCGAAACAATATATGCATTTATTGAATATTGGAACTCAAACGATGCCCTGCGTCTGAATTGATATGAATAATTTCGCATTTCCCTTGCTTATTCCAATATCATTGCAGCTGTACCTGTAGTTGGTGTCTTGGATGTGTTTGCAAGTAGTTGTGCCCGAGTACAGGCCCTCAAAAATAGCGAACGGCCCCCCTGCATAGAGGGCCTAAGGACACTCAAGACCACCATCTTGAACGTGAAGGGCACGACAGGTGCGCACCGAATATTTTCACATGATGTTCCATCAAAACAATGTTATTTTTAGCAAAGGATAAATAGTATTTTATGATTATCTCCAAGATACGGATTGTTGTTGTCGTAGATAAAAATATGGAACAAAAACATGATCGTTTCGAATTTTAAGAAAATAAAATTAAAAATAAATGTTTCTTGTACATCACGTTGGCAACAACAACAGAAAAGCATGGACTTGTTAGGATCTATCTTAGGCTCTATGCAAAAGCCGCCGTCAGTCGGCGATGCAGAGAAAAAGAAAGCTAAAGGTTGTTACTTTGGTGTGGCACAGAATAACTCAATTACTCAAATAATCATTTCGATCTTAGATTTATGGCCATGATAAACGTAACACGAGAAAATCTGATTTGTTTTTGTCATGACCCTTGACTGTCAGTGTCACACATAACTTGTCATGAACTAATATTCAGTCAGTATAAGCTGTATTCAAACGTGTGAAACTATTTTCCCTTTTTTTAAATCAGGAAATGTCATGATAACGACTGTCCAGAGGAAAACTATAAGATATCATGTTAACAAAGTAATGCAGAATTAATCCCAATGAAAACATGTTGATGTGCCCAAGAGTACATTCAGGTACCTGCACTAGAACACTTGCGTTCCTTTGACACCTATTCTCTACAGAATGGAGGGGCAGTGGGGTAGCCTAGTGGTTAAAGCATTCACTCATCACACTGAAGACCAGGTTCGATTCCCCTCACGGGTACAATGTGTTAAGGCCCATTTCTGGTGTCCCCTGCCATGATATTGCTGGAATATTGCTAAAAGCGGCGTAAAACTAAACTCACTCACTATTCTCTACAGAATGGAGGCGCAGTGGGGTAGCCTAGTGGTTAAAGCATTCACTCATCACACTGAAGACCCGGGTTCGATTCCCAATGTGGGAAGCCCATTTCTGGTATCCCCTGCCATGATATTGCTGGAATATTGCTAAAAGCGGCGTAAAACTATACTCACTCACTCAAATGAATGGTGCCAAGTTTGTTGACATGGGGAGGTCAAGGTATTGCATGAAGCAGAAGTGTGGTTCACACAAGTATAGATGCTTAGAGAATAAATATTGCATCCCAAAGAGACTCACATATAATATGCTTTGTTATTATCAAATGTACATCACACTATTTGTGCTTACAGGACCTACATATTTCCTGTAAGGATAACTTCTCTGAGTGGCATTGGGAAGTACAATATAGACAAACTTTATGGATAACAACTTCTTTATTTCATGAGTGCTTGACAACAGTACCTACAAGCATTTGTATCCAAACGTCAGACTCATGAAATAAAGAAGTTGTTTTCCATATAATTTGTCTATATTCCTGTGAGGATGTTTGAAATAAAATAAATGATTAAGTCTGTTAGTCATGATAAAGCCCTGGTAGGTTATGTCATGAAGCAAAACAACACAAAATTGTGGACTGTGTCAAAATACCTACTCACCTTACTGTTCTGAAAGTAAGCAACAACCATAATGAAGTTTCTGCTTTTCAGAGCAAAAGGAGCTGTTTGAGAAGCAGCAGGAAAAAGAAAAACAGAAATTGAATGTATTTCGTGAGAAGGTGAGAAGCATTGATTTGTGGGTCAGCTTGTTTGTTTCTTGGTAAATATAATTATGTGTATATATTGAGCCATAAACTGCAGAAATGAGATTGAAATATGTTCGGTCATCTTATCAACATGATCAGATATCAGAACACATTTTCACTACCAACATGGCCAGTCTAGGGTATTTCTAGCAATGGCACGTCAATAGCTTCTATGAGAAAATGCACACTTTGTAATATCAAAATATCCATAAATCTTCCGCAACCAGTCAGTGTTCAGTAATGAGTATCAATTTTGCCTCACAATTTATTTCTGCTGTTCTTACAGAGGGTAGCCCAGTCTTTTTTTAGCTGTTTTGTAACCCAGCAAGTGAACATGCAGCATATCTAATTAGCCCGACGATCAGTGTCCGGCAGCATGTGAGAAGCAAGACTGCATTGACACTGTTGACTATTGTGCAAAACAACACTCGCTCACATATTCTCCTGAAATACTGGATTACACTCTGCCATATTGAATTTTTACAGTGGGCGGTTTTTCAGAAGAATGTCTGAAACCATGGTAACTATTTTTACTGTAATGTGATATTTTGTTTGTTTCCATCTGATCTAGATGCAGAAACAGATCCATGAATTCATCAAAGACAGCTCAAAACAAAAGTACAAGTTTAAACCTATGGACAAAGTACTACGAGCTATTGTGTAAGTAGACGTCACAAGTTCGCTGAAGACCATGGGTGTACATTCTACACTGCTCTACACACAATATTTACTCTTATATTCTATTTACTGTTTGTAGTTTTGGTTTGTTTGTTTGTTGTATCTTGTCGTGTTTGTTGTTTAACACCACATTCAGCAATATTCCAGCTATATGGCGGTAGCCTGTAAACAATCGAGTCTGGACCAGACAATCCAGTGATCAACAATATTGTAATTTTGCATCAAGAAGTCCTATCATTTAAAAAAAAATTTATAAACAAATCCTGTTGATTTTAACTGTAAATATGATTAATGATAAAACTGTTTCAGACATGAAGTGGCAGACGTAGCCGGACTGACATCCTTCTCATTTGGTCATGAGGAAGAAGACAGATATGTAATGTTGTGGAAGAAGGTTCGTATACTTTGTCTTGTCTACCAAACACTCCACAAGATCTCGTCTCCATATCTTCAAACTCTTCTGTACCTTTCTACAAGTTGATGTCATTTGGTGCCAGAGCCTTCAAACTCTCTGTTGCTGTGCTATGGAACTCTCTTCCCCCCTCGCCTCAGATGTTCTCTGTGGAGCCCATTTCTGGTGTCCCCGCCATGATATTGCTGGAATATTGCTAAAAGCGGCGTAAAACCATACTCACTCACTCAGATGTTCTCCTTCCTTGACTGAAATTAAATCTGGCCTATCTAAATCTAAAGACCCATCTGTTTCATAATCACTGACAATTGTTCATCTTTTTAGTTTCATGTACAGCTAGATAAGTGTCATTATTATTATTATTATTATTATATTATACATGGACTGACAGTAAAACAATTATTTCTCAAGCAGTGATTTTTGAAAAGTCAAGCAGTGATTTTTGAAAAGTCAAGGTGATGGTGGCAACTGAGTATTTTGTGTGTGAAAAACCTCCTCCTTGGTTCAGTGGAAAGAGTGTCCGTCAGGAGAGTGGAAGGTCAAATTATAAGAAAATCCGTCAAAATGATATGAATATGCTTATTAAGGAAAGTCTTATCTCTGTAAAAAGTCCAGTATATTTCCAAAATGCAATCATATTTAATGACATATTTCAACAAATGAGATTTCAGCACTTTTGACACGGTGGTTAAAGCATTCACTTGTGCTAAAGGGGACGGTGGGGTAGCCTAGTGGGTAAAGCGTTGGCTCGTCACGCCGAAGACCCGGGTTCAATTCCCCACTTGGGTACAATGTGTGAAGCCCATTTCTGGTGTCCCCATAAACACTGACTGATGTTGCTGGAATATTGCTAAAGCGTGAAGCCAAACTCACTCACTCACTCACTCACTTGTGCGAAAGACCTGAGTTTCATTCTCCACATGAGTACAATGCCTGAAGCCTATTTCTGTTATCTCCTGCAGATAAGGATGTGGTGATGAGATTTGCTGAAAAGCGTCCTTAAACAATACTGAATCATATTTTTCTCTGTTTGCAGGAGTTTGCTCCCACCGATGATGAGCTGTCGGCATACAGGCGAGGGATGGAATGGGACCCGGAGAAGGCAAAAGAACTTGCCAAACAAAAGGTGCACAATTAAACAATTATGTGGCAACAAAAGTTGTATTATTGCCTAATTGTGTAGAGAAATTATGTAGCTCTCTCAGTCCAAGATATTTAAAGAAGTTTGAAATCTTTGAACAGCTGTAGACAAGACGTTAGTAGGATGAAGGCTGCTCCGTCAGGCTACTCAAACGCAGATCTGGTTTAGATGGACATACTGCTGGATACATTGTCGGACATATTGCTGGATACATTGTCGGATGCATTGTTGGACACATTGTTGAACCAGGACTGCACGGTATTACCGATATACGGGTATATCGCAATACACTTTTCAAACGATACATATTGTAATATTTTTTTCTGAGAATCGGTATATTAAGTAAAGAACACATATAAAGTTTTTGTGATTATGTTTATGGTTTAAATTATAATCTACACAGACTTTCATTCACAATAAATGTTTTCCTTCGTTATTCAATGACAAAACGGCATACTGTAATACCATCAAGTGTATAAAACAGAAAATAGAATCTCTGACTAAGCAACCTAATTTTGAGATTGCTGTTATCAGAACCATAACATATATGTTCAGGGACATAGAATGTTGAAAATAGGATCGACATGTACAATTAGTGGCTCTTACTGTCAAACACTTAAGCTTCCAATATGTTGCAATACCTATCGCAATACGCGTACCTGAATCGCAATATATTGCAATACATATTATTTACTGATACACAGCCCTAATTGTCCGACACATTGTTGGACACATTGTCGGACACATTGTTGGACACATTGTAGTGTTTGGTCATCGCTTCAAGACAAACATATTTGTCTTACGGAAAACCCAAACAATTTTAATGTTTTTAACAACTCATTGTTTTCAAACATTCATCAAATGAATATATTTGAAAGTTAAAACTTGAGACCAATTTTTATATTATTTTCTGAAACAATTTAAATAGGATTAATCCCAAGCTCGCTCCAAAATATCAGAGGGCCAAAAAATGAATTCAGTGTAAAACACTTGTATGATATTTGTTTTGGCAGGAGATAGAAGCTCAGTCTGAAGCCCACAACTTGAAGCGTAAACACGAGGAGGTGGCGCCCTCTAGCAACTACAGAGAGAAATACAAACATCTAATCGGGGAGGAAGCTGCTAAGGATGCTGCCAAGTCCACCATTGCCAACAAGTCTTACGGTTTTGGTGAGTAAGGAATTAGTATTGCTTATGTTTTTGTGATGATTTGATGGAAAAATATTTGTCACAGAATACCATTGATGGCACATTTCTCTCTCTCTGTTTTTACTGAAATATCTTTATTAATGTTGAGTGTTTGGGAGTCCATGTTTTTATGCCACTTTCAGAAATATTTGAGCAATATCACGGAGGGGGACACCAGAAATGGGCTTCACAGATTGTAGCCATGTGGGAAATTGAACCAGGTTTTTGGTGTGAAGAGCGAACATTTTAACCAGTGGGCCACTCTACCGCTGCTTTATTGATATTGCCTGATAACAGTGTGATGCTCTGTTTCCAGTTCCAAGTCACAACAAGCGAGACCAGCGTACAATTGAGCAGGTGCTTGCAGACAGTCGGGCCAAGAAGAAGCTCAAGACGGAAGGGGATGCTGCTGTTGAACCACCAGAGGGCGCAGCAGCAGAGCCTGATTCGTCACCATGATACTGTCATTAGGTTTTAGCGTATATTTGTTGATGTTTGTTTTAATTCACTGATGTAGAACACAGAACCACTGACTGTGAGCCAAATGGCAGCAAATCATGTTGATACTGTTTGATATAAGAGTAATAAAATTACGCGATTTCATACAGAAATTGCATGGAATGGTAAATAGTGATGTAATTGTAGATATTTTTTAACCCTGGTTGGAAAAAGTGTTTGCCATGTATTCTGTTATGTAGATGGCTACATTTCCAAGTGAAATTAACACTTTATCATTCAGATTAAAACTTTATAGTTAAGAAAATAAATACTTGAGTTTCATCAGTCACATTCTCCATGTATCAAGGGCTTTTGTAAACCTACACTAATCCTTGGTCCATTCCCATTGTTCTTGTGATTGCAAATTGATCATGAACATTTTGCCAACCAGTCTCATGTTGACATAAGGGAAATGGAAAGGGTAAGGGAGGTAACTCAGATTACCTAGGAACCACTGGCAGTTTTAACGTACATAAAGACATCCTTTCAAAACATCTTGAGGGCTTTCTTACGTTACAGTTTCTCAGTATTGAGTTTCTTCCAAACTTTTCTCATCAATGAGGCTGGTTTGTAGCTCGCATTCTGACTGGAATGTTAGTAGGGAGGCCAATCAGATTGACAAATGGAAATCAAGGGCAGGTAATTTGAGATTGCTTGACCCATGAGATCCAGGGCTTAGTGTAGGTTTACTGAAACAGGATTCCTGGTGATCTAGAAGACATATTAATCCATGACTGAACATGATGGAACAGTATGGTATCAGTGGGTAAGGCTCATTATCAAAAACAATGCTTGAATATTATTAAAAATGAAGCATACAACTTTATGGATGACAACTTCTTGTTTATTGCATAGAGCAACGTTTTGATGTACATTCTTACACCGTTATCAAGCTAAAAGACTACATCATAATGTCGCTCTTTGATTAAAGAAAGTTGTCATCCATAAAGTTGTATGCTTCATTTTTGACTCACCAACTTCTCGTTGCCTATCAAACAATTAAAATATTATTAGATGTGGTATACATTGAAGGGTGTGGGTGTTGATCGATAACTGTTGGTCTGGAAGTAAGCTTGAAGTAATATGAATGCTTGAATAGGATGTTACATGTGACTGTGGTTTTGTGTTAGACACCAGTCTTGTTTAAGTCAAGTGATAACAAAGGATATATTGTTTCTCAGGATTGTGTACAGATTTCTGTATTTAATCTTCCTTCGTAACCGGAGGTATTCATGGGAGAGTTTATTCAGGGATCTCACATCATCCTCATGTATCAGGGCTGTTTTACAGGTTTTGGCGGGTCTGTGCTTCAGTAACTTCATTCCTACTGTATCGTGTTACTGTGCTCATTATTGTGAAAGATGTAAATCTTGCTTATTTGATGTCATGCTGTCATCCCATTTCGACACTCAGTAGGTTTTGAGTGGCCCACTCATGCAAGGAATTTGCTGTGCAGAGTTGTGTCCCTTGGAAACCTGTGATCATGGGTTTGAATCCTATTTTGTCCTGGTTCTAGGTTTTTCAGTGAGGTAGCACAGTGGTTAAAGTATCTGCTCCTCAGTCTTAGGTTCGATTCCTTGCATTGGAACAATCTGTGAACTCATGAACAGATTTCTGATGTTCCCATCTGTGATAGTGTTGGATTATTTCTAAATGATTGACAGATGAAATACACCAGTGACACCAGTGTCATTCAAACTAACTTCATTCCCACACAACCCTCATTGTCACAGATTGGTTCAGCCATTATGTCCGCTACAAGAATGGTAATGTTATTGTGTATTCCTGACAACTGCCTTGATATATGTGGATGATTCTACCCTATTGTGTTATTTGTATGACTTGAATCAGAGACCATATAATAGAGGGACGGCCCTCCCCAACAGTTTATCACCAACCATCAGCGCTACGGCCTGGCATGTAACCGATACACATCGACACCCTGCTGCTAACTTCCCTCTACCGGTACACATGCTCAACAGATGCGCAGACATTCTGCAAATGAGCACTCTGGTAACCACGTAAACAATATTGCGTAATATCCGTAATCTATTATATGGTCTCTGCTTGAATTGATTGTCCAACTCTAGCATCTTAGATTTGTATACAACTATATAAATACTGTGTCTAACACCTGTCATTTTTGTGTTAATCTTGTTAATTTACAGATTACAAAAAGAATTTTTTAACCATCTAATCATTGTTTCTTATGTCTTACGTCTTATTGCTCCAGCTGATAAACCACAGAATTTATTCCCATAAATGTTTGATCGATTGACAGTATTTTGTCAAAGCCCTTCACTCAAGGAAGACCTCATGTGAAGATGTGGGTTATAATTGGGCTTCAGCAACCTGTGGATGTTGTAAAGGGATTGAGTGATCAGGCTTGCTCACTTGGTTGAGGCATACCCCAGTTGTGTAGATTGATGCTTATGAAGTCAATCACTGGATTGTCTGGTACAGCTTGCTGTCACATAGCAGGAATATTGCTGATTTCGGCAATAAACAACAAACATTTGACCAGACCGATGAGGAGTGTTCTGTCTTATCCAAGGGCGGTGGGGTAGCCTTGTGGTTAAAGCGTTCGCTCGTCACGCCGAAGACCCGGGTTCGATTCCCCACATGGGTACAATGTGTGAAGCCAATTTATGGTGTCCCAGCCGTGATATTGCTGGAATATTGCTAAAAGCGGCGTAAAACTAAACTCACTCACTCACTCACTCTAAATGGGAACGTAGGATTGACCAGTTGCCTTTTGAGTGGTCTATTTACTGTATAGAGTTACTTCCCTTGGGCACACCAGAATCCCATGATTGTGGGTTTATACCCAGGTTTGCCTGATTACTTTTGAGTTAGAAGTGTAGAGGACGGTTCAATGATGATGAGTGCTGTCAAGAGGTTTCATTTTCAAGTCAGTTTACAAAAAATGTTCTGGTCTGGTCTCCTGGTTATCAACCTCCAATTTGGGCTTTTCTCCCCAAAACATGACATAACTGGAATATTATTCAAAACAGCATTTAACCCATCTCACTCACTTACAACATACATTTATGATGAAAATAATAAACGTTTGAGTGTCATGTTATCCTTTGACAAAAAGGCTTGATTCGGCAAATAAACAACCAACTGCCCAAAAAGGCTGCAAAGTGAAAAAGATGAGGATTTGGCCTAACATTTTTTGGTCCAAATTGTTAAAATTTGGTGAAATGAGAAAAAACATACTCCAGATTTTGTGACTGTTTGTAGGAAATGGTGACAATGGATATAGAAATCTTTATTCAAACAGAAGAACAATCCAAGCATCAGTACTTCCATGGGGTGTGTCAGCGGTAGAATAGGTCTTCAGCAACCCATTCTTGTCATAAAAGGCGAACTATGCTTGTCGTAAAAGGTGACTAACGGGATCGGGTGGTCAGGCTCGCTGACTTGGTTGACACATGTCATCGGTTCCCAATTGCGCAGATCGATGCTCATGCTGTTGATCACTGGATTGTCTGGTCCAGACTCGATTATTTACAGACCGCCGCCATATAGCTGGAATATTGCTGAGTGCGGTGTAAACCTTAACTCACTCACTCACTCCATGGTGGTGTGACCTGTGAGGTTTTGATTCAACCCAGTCACGGAATCTGTCCACCTGATCCACTGAGCTACCTCAGCATAGGTACTTTGAAGCTGGAAAAAAACGATCCAAAAGAATTTGTTCATATATTCATTTTACATGATACATCTTGAAATCCCAACTGTGGCTCTTTACTCGATGTCAATATTACACATAATCAGGTCTGCCTGGTCCAGGCTTGATTATTTACAGGCCTCCACGATGTAGACGAGTGAGTGAGTGAGTGAGTGAGTGAGTTGGGTTTACACTGCTATATATTCCTGCAATATTACAGCAGTGGTACACCAGAATCGAACTTTCCATTTAACCTGAGTCTTTAGCATGATGAGCAAACACATTAACCACTAGGCTATCCCACAGCCCTGATGTAGCTGAATTATTGCTGACAACCATCTGGTCAGTTGGGCTGTCTGTATTCTTTCGTCTTTCGCATTTCCCTCATGTAAATTAATACAGTAAATTAAATTAATAATATATAAAGTTTATCTCAATTTATCTTATCTCAATTTTCCCCGCTTCTGTGGAAGTTTAAGCCCTGCTGTGATAAAATAACTCCTCCCTTGCACACACAGGTTGGCTACATCTTTCTTATTAAAAGCTTGTTTCTGAAGCAAAGCGGCTCCATCTACATAATAAATTAACAAAGTTTATAACCAAGTTATGTAACTTTCAATATTTCACAAATTATTTCACACAATTCCTTAAAAACATTTTCCAAATTTATTCAATTTTTCATTTTTTGCCCACCACTATCTTGCTGTTTGAGGGTGGAGATTGAAACACCTTAAAAGAACATTGATGGCCTACCTCAAAATTAGCTCCTTTGCATGTATATCTACCATTATAATTTCTCTAGGATTATTGCTTCCAAGGTGAGTGAGGTGGAGAGCACTTCATAATTTGTAACATTTCAAATAAATTGTTAAGTGTATTGTTTGTTTCTTTTACTTGTAAACCTGTAATTTTGGTGTTGTTGGTTAAAAGCATAGCTTTACTAGTCACTGTCAATTTTGTTCCAAAGAAGGGAGAATTTGTAATATACTACTATGGGTACCCAAGCTCACCTGTATTCAGTTACAAATGGCACAGACTGATGCTCATGCTGTTGATCACTGGATTGTCTGGTCCAGACTCGATTATTTACAGACGGCCGCCATATAGCTGGAATATTGCTGAGTGCGGTGTAAAACTAAACTCACTCACTCAGTTACAAATGAAAGGGTGGATGATGTGCCAGACTAGAGGTATTTTTGTGTCATACATTCAGAGGACATTGTGTCATGTTGGTTTTGAATGTCCTCACAGCTTGCTTTGTATATGTTGGCGAAAAAGAATAAAACCATAGTGAATGAGTTGGGTTTTACACATAATACGCTTTTAATAGCAATCATCACTCTTCCTTAGCTTTTCAATGAAAAATGTACTCTAACCACTACACCAGACTGGAGGCGGTCCTTTACCTTTGGAACCTGCTCTGAAATATTTATAGGAAATAGTGGGTATGGGTTATGCAGCTTTTAGCAATATCAAAATGAGGAAATATATAGCGAAATGATACCGATGAAATGCAATCTAACACAAAAACAAATCGACATAAAAGAATCAAACCAACGCGGACTGCAATAAAAACAACAGACCGACTCTAGAAAGAAATGCATAATTTTTGTCACAAAATATAAAAGTTGTTTAAGAAACTGTCTTAATATATTTATCGTTTTCCCAGTTTGTTACAAACAGCTTAAAGCGCAGTGGCAACTAAAGGAACAGCACGGCGCTGCTGCACGCATGCGTTAAAGGGTTCTCAACAAACTTTTGAGCTGGCGAGATGACATGTACCCCAGCTGCACAGGCGATGCGCTGTTTGTACTTAGTAATTGCATACTTGGGTCACCCGTCATTTTTCATCATTGTGAAAATCATAGACTTTGTAAATTACAGACTTTCAGTTTTTCTCACTTTGTCAATCAGCAGTAATCAATGTCTCTGATGTCACTAATGCATGTGCATCTGCGCTTCAGCTGTTCCTTTAGTAAACTTTTTTATTCTTGTGACAAAAATTATGCAACTTTTTCTACAGTTGGTCTGTTGTTGTCCCCTCAATGGGTTAAAGTTTGGGTATAAGAACTCAACGCTGAACGGGGACTATGTATTCAGCGGTGTCCGGTCCGCATACGCACGTCCCCAATTCTTGTTAACGCGATATGTGATGAACTGTTGTACCCAATGTCTTCAAATTTGGTGACAGCCTACATTGGGAGATTATGCAGACACCAGTCGATTTGGGTGACCTTGACCTTATTTTCAAGGTCACCGACAATTTTCTATGCCACTTTCCAAATTCTTGTTAACAGAAACACTTTTCAAACTGTTGTACCCAATGTCTTCTCAAATTTGGTGACAGCCTTTACTATGGGATTGGCTAGATTATTTGCAGTTGACACCAGTCTTATTTGGGTGACCTTGACCTTCCCCTCAAAACAAACCAGCTCGACAATCTTCAAATGTCATCTTCAAGGTCACCAGTTGATTTTTGAATCTTGTGATTCAGGTCACACTTTTAACTCTTGTTAATTGCTGATATCTCATGGACTGTTGTACCCTATGTCTTCAAATTTTGGTGACAGTTTACATTGGGGGTGTATTACACAGACACCAGTTTATTTGGGTGACCTTGACCTTATCTTCAAGGTCACCACAATAATACTGAACCGCTTTTTAAAGGCGATATCTCATAAAACATTGCACCCAATGTTTTCAAGCTATGTTGACAGCCTACATCGGGTGATTATGCAGACACCAGTCATTTCAGGCATCTTGTATGTGACCCCAAAATAAAAGTAGTAAATATAGATATTCCATTCTTTAGCGGCGGGGGACATTGCCATATCAGTGGCAAACACTTGTTTTTATTGCACTCCGTTGGTTTGATTCTTTCATGTCTATTTGTTTTGTGTTAGATTGCAATTCATCGGTATCATTTTGTCTCAAATGGACTGTAAATGGATTGTCAAGCTTGGGTGGCTTGACTCCCCATGTCAGCGTATTCCAGTTGTGTCACTGCATTGTCTGGCTCACCATGTTATCCATAAGGGTCATGAATATGTGTATATTGAGTTGGATTTAAGGCCACATTGACCAGTATTCCAGTTATATCCCCGCATGTCAGCCAAATGTGAAGGGAGGCCTGAAGTAATACAAATTCTACACATTTACCACTTTGGTGAAACTCACAGCCTCTCAGATGGTGCTCATAAACCTGAAGGTGAACCAGGATCTGAGACTTCAAGAATGTGTGTGATTTAAATGATTCTCAACGCAGAATGGACAACTAATTGGAGAGAAAAAAATACTTTGAATAGTCACACAAATTGGAAAAGAGAGAGAAGACAATCCTCATCAAGTTTGCATCATAAAACTACCCCACATTTTCAAAGGAGTGAGTGAGTGAGTGAGTGAGTGAGTTTGGGTTTACGCCGCTTTTAGCAATATTCCAGCAATATCACGGGAAAAGGGGAACACCAGAAATGGGCTTAACACATTGTACCCATGTGGGGGAATCGAACCGGGTCTTCGGTGGGGAACACCAGAAATGGCTGACGGTTGTACCCATAACGCCTAACCACTAGGCTACCCCACTGCCCCCATTTTCAAAGGAGTGCACAGCGGGTTTCATGATTTACTGTTTGGATCCGTTGAAAATGTGTTGAGTTTAATTCATTATGATGCACACTGCATTGGAATTGTGTCTTATCAGATAACTGCGTGGCTATTTTCATTTAGAAGATCCCCATATCCTATAGTTTGGTTGCCCTCTGCTGGTGTTCTTTAGAAGGCCTGTGACTACATGAAAACAAAGGAAAGCTTTATCTTTGAATATTCGTTTATTATGACAATTTGGTGACATATACACATGTCTACAGTCAACTCAGATTTTCTTTACAAAAACTGTTACATGTATTTCTGGCACAATCAAGCACATGACCTGCTCGGACGCACTCCGCATGCTCTCAACCAGCCTCTACACTACAAAAATAACCCTACATAAGGCAACATTTCTATAAATAGTCATTCATAGCTTCCCTATCTGCATATGAACATTATAAAGCCCTGCAAGAGCTTAATCTAAGAGCCCTAACGAAAGAGCATGGTTTAAGAGCCTCTGTAAGGTTAGGATGTACATATACTCATGAAAAAAAATAAGGGAACAGCAAAATATGCGAAGTTTACTGCTCCATACAACACTGATGCATCTGATCAAAATGAACAGCGATTGTTCACTATCTGGTTCTCATCTTCATGAAACTATATAATGTTCTGTCAAACATGTAAGTGTTCCTTTACTTCTTGCCATCAGTATATATTGAGAGTTGCACAGCAGCATGGCAATGAAACATGAAAATAACAGTAATAACCTGTACTCTAAAAATACAGGTCCATGAATGATTTCCTTAAAATAGGACTAAATGTTTGGTAACAGTTCACTGGGTATTATATTTGACAATAGGACCAACTACTGCACCCAACATAATTATACTACCGTCCTACCTCATGCAGTCATGTAAAATTCTCAGTAACTTTACACCTTAACCAGGAAGGCTTTCGGTGAAATATTGTCATGTCTTATCAAAATGGCCCTATCGCTGCATGTAATATCTGTCTGATAGAAAACGGATGTACGAAAGATGACTCAAATTTTAGAAGTCCTTAGTCTTGTTCGAAACGGCAAGGACTTCTTTGCTGTCGCCTGGACAAACTGACATTAATGTTAAAACAAACTTTCTTAACTTATTTTCATATATGCATAAATACGTCACAAAAAATCACTTATGAGGTAGAATTTATTGTAATGCTAAATATTCTTCCTCATCCAAGTGACCTTTCAAATGAGAAAAATGACATCACCATTAAATCTTTGAGACAAGGGACTGGTCACTTAGGGGGTGGGGACACACACACTGAAATAGGTCTTATGACTGTAATATATTTTGCTGACATTCCCCACCCAATAAATGACAAACGCTAAATATCATTTGATTTTAGAATTATATGACCTAACACCCCCCAAAAACCAACCAAACAAAAAAACTAGCCCCTATATATTAACTGAACTGGGCATGGGCAGCTAGTTAAGGTCCCATCAGTTCTGTGGTTGCAGTTGGTGAATAAACAGTAAAAAACAGTCAAAAACATAAAATTTATCAATAGGTTGAGATCTGATAATAAATTAAAACATATATCCACTCTTCGTCACTGAAGTAAAAGTCCAGCTTATAACTCCAACAAAGCAGCCCTAAACTTGTGCGTTGATCGTAAAGGTTAATCACAAAATTCTCAGTTCTCTTAAAAGTGGTTTGAACGTGGAATCTGTTATATGGTAAAGCATGGATATTGCACCGTAGATGGGAAATGTCCTGTTCTGGTGTTTTGGCGATGATGTCACGGACAACTAGCACCTAAGTCGGAACACAGAGACAGTTCACTTGGACATGATGGAAGATGGATGGCTGATGGATACACAACAATAGCGAAAACATGCAAGTTGACATTATTCATACATCGTCACGGCTCAGGGTTTTCTTGATTTCAGCAACAAGCTTAAATATCTATTTCAGAATGAGTGCAAGATTTACGTTACATAACAATTAGGCAAAACAATCTCAACACATTTGGCTGTAATATAGACATATAAAATATACTTGTTGAAACAAACAATAAGTGATGCACGCAAGAGCAAGATAAATGGATGGACATCATTTGTATCAGCAGAGCAACGTTTCCATGCCAACACTCATTTAAAATCATCGATATGTCATATCACAACTTCGTACTTGACAAAGGGAGGCAACTCTCATCAACATAAAAAAGCACATATTAAAACTGTACAGGTGAAGAAGCTTTGTACAAGGACAGAAAATAATATACAATAGCAGATGTAGTTTGTACAAAAGGTTAAAAGACGTCAGGATAAATAGCAGAGTCCATCCGAGCAGGTTTCTCACTAACGGCTACTAAAATCAGCCGGTCTCGCATACTATGTATCACGTACTCCAATGGCATTCATTCACACTATCTCTCTAGCAGTCATACACTGGTGTTCTGCATTTGTACAAGGCATTCATTAACAAGAGAAAACCACTCAACCCAGACACCAATGTAAATATTAGTTGTATTATCTCAGGTTCCATCCCAAGTTGTCGCTCTCGTTACAATTATTGAAACAATTTCTATCATCTACTCTAACTAAATCGAAAAACTACCATACCACAAGTATGTATGCAAACATGAAAAGAAAACTTACAAACAATTCATCAGAATTACAGAACTAACAATATACGATCATATCAAAGACTAAAACTCATTATTATCCACGTTGAGCAATTTTCTCTTGTTTTCAACGTAAACATATTCGACTACCATGCATAACTCAATCTTAGCATGTCCGTAAGACATTACACTCATATGTATTACATAACTAATCGTAACATGTACTTGTGACGTAGGTCGAATATATTATGTAAATCAATCAACCGTAGCATGTGGGACTTACGACTATTTGAGAAAACCCAGTCATGCCACAAAGATTGAGTTACAAAATTTCATGTGTAACTTATGTCATCATAACATATTCGATAATTTATGCAAACATTGTAGCATGTTCCACGACTTATGTACACATCGTAGCATGTACGCAAACTGCACACGCATGAGTGTAGTACGTAACAGAGGAACTGCTTGTAAGAACATGGCCTGGTAAAGCAAGGGCAGTCGGGGTACAGAAGACTACACACAGGTCACCTTTTAAGTCTTCGACTGATGTTTGACAAATGATCTCCAGCTGTTCAACATCCATTATCTTATCAAGGCACAGTAACTTTCAGAAATTTATTTAAACAAAGAAATTATGCTAACATTAACTAAATTCCAAAATTATTATGGAGTTTGATTTTCTAAAATCACCTTCATGCTTCAATTTTTTTGGGTTCAAGGTCAACTAAAATTATGCCAATAATAGCAAAATTGTCAAAATTGTTCTCATTAGTGAATTTTCTAAAATCTTTATCAAATCATTAAAATTATGCGATGTTGTGATGCTCCCAAACAAAGGAATTCACTGTAATTTCTCGTTCAAATGAAACTGGATTGTCGAAACCTGAAATAAAACTTTAAAACAAATCATAAAATAAACATACTTCTATCTAACACATCATCGTGTGAAACTTAAATGAACTGAGCTCGAAATATCATGATTTGGATACAGCTGGACAGTTTGATATGTTTCTCAGGTCAAACTCAGGACGATGACGTCACCATCAGCAGATTATGATGTCATCATGAGTGTTTGATGACGGACATGCTGGCCACTTAGACGGAATATTGCATGCCAAGGATGCTGGGATAGGTGGGAGGGGAAGTGCTGAGGATGACAGGCCATGCTCAGAATGTGGCTGGGATTGGGGTTGCCATGCTTGCAGAATTCTTTCCGAATAATGTCTAACAGATGTTTCGTTTTCTTCCAAAATGAATTGGATTGAACCATTAGAAAAAAGCATGTTTATCAACACCCATTATGAAAGAATTATGTAGAGTTAGTTAAGAAAGGTAATGCATGCAGACAAGCCGATGTGAACTGAACAGCAATAGAAAAGGTAAAGCAATGGTAAGTATTTGAGATAAAGCAGTTTGCATTCTGTTTTGACAGTTTATTTTGGAGATGGTTAGACAAGCAATTTGAAAGCATGCATTAGGTGACAGAACAGTGAAAAAAGAATAGAGATGAGTTGAAATGAAAGGGAGATAACTGTTGTGGAAACTGAATACCAATTTCCAGCATTCATGTCTTCTATTGCATTCAGTCAAGCTACACACCTACTGGCTTCTTCAAAAATAACTTTGTATACAATGTTGTGTTCTCTCTCTCTCTCATGGACAGGATTCATTGGCCGGTCTGTCCTCGGTGCTAGTATCACATGATGACGACACGTCACATGACTAACCACGATCATGTCTATTGGTGCACACCCACCCATGTGAAATCCAAAGCAAGGCTTTGAGAAGTCCAACAGAGGTTTATGCAGCAGGGTTAATTGCATGATGGGAAGGAAAGAGCGTCAGAGAGCGAACGAACGAACGAGGCGGGCGGGCACTGTAGAAGGGTTAGCGTTGTTAGAAGAACGAAGTGGGTTAGATGTGAGATGGCGGGCGGGCGGGCTACGGGCGGGCAACGGGCGGAGGGAAGAATGCAACGGGCAGGTGGCAGACAGGCAGCAACTTTCCGTCAGTCAATCGTGGTCGGTATGTCCTCAATCTCTAGAAGAGCTACAATAAATAACAACACCGTAGTCATGCATTAAATACACACAGGTTTACAAGAATGCGCATATGTAGTAACACAGTAGGCTGAAAATGATCAAAGAAAATAGATAGACATCTTTCAAATCAGATCCTTTGGACGAACTTTACGTTCTCGGGCCAAACTGTTGTTGCAATCTTCCAAGCAAGTTTGGACATGTTATAAAACTGCGGATAAGTAGTCGGCAGTATAACGTTTCACTCTACACTCAAGTGACGAGTTCTGGCTCACTGGTGAATTGCTCAATCACTCTGCATGCAATACAATCAAGCTGATTGGCTGATGAGTCAGTCACATGACCTGGACATGTGATGAATCACATGACATCCACAAAGAACTCACATGGATTTCCCATGGCCATTCTAAAGGACTGCCTGCTCCCACTGAGGTCAGCTGGCATCTGTGCTAGAGGTCCAGGAGGTGGGGGGAGGCTGCGATCGCTGGGGGCGCCTCGTCGCACGCTTGCTAGGCTGGCTGTGTCAGTATCACTGCCGCCGCCGCCACTCCCAGCAGGACTAGCAGACTTTCGGTCTGACTTTTCTTTCTCCTTTTTGCTGCTACCAGATGCACTGCTCCCTGAAATGACAATCAAGTCTTTGAAGAAATGGGCTTTGAAATACACAAACTGACACTAATTTGTAGATCTCATGCAGACACACTTAAGACATTCAAATAAATGCAAATTTTCTAATCATAATGCATGCAGTTGACACTTTTTAGTGAAACATAATTACATTTTTTATCATAATTAATCAAATTTGTACAATTATTTGTAATTTTGTTCAATAATTAATCATTTACGGCTATCAATTAGCATGAACAATGGTCATATCACAACAGACTACTGAGGATAACCTACTCCACATAGCTACTGTTAATTCTACATGTTAACCTAGGAAGTGAAACTATCACAGTGTAATGTCACACTACAGTTACCTCCCTTCACCAGGACATGACAGACACCACAGTTTGAAGCACGTCACATGACAACACAATGAAGAACACTAGTCAGCCAATGTTGCTGGTCTATGCTGTGAGGAACACTGTTACCTATTTTTTGCTGACAAAGCATGTTTTTCCTATGACCCAACATAACCAGCCAGGAAGTAACGTGATGACATTCATGTAATGCTTTCAGAATTGACTGCTCAAGAACTACCATAACCATGATGAAGCAATTTAATGACTCATACAACGGCAAACCCTTGAGTGTTGATAAGAAAAATGGTAACTCAAAAATTTGTCATTAAAAAGAATTAAAAATAAAGACATAAAAATAAATAAATAAAATAATAATAATAATAAAAAAAATAATAATAAAAAAAAATCAAATGTAAAAAAATCAAATATATAAATAACAAACACACAATGAGCCAAAGCTTATCTGCTATGTGGACAGCTATCAAAAAATGCAGAAATGAAAAATTAGACCAGTAAAATAGATGTACATGTACTTCTACAACTGTACAGCTTGCAGTGATGAGAGCCCAACAATGATTATGGGTCAGTTAGATCCTCAATATCTGCCACATCGCTCAATAACACCCAGCTAAATCAAGGACACAATATGTTAACAAAACATCCCGCTACTCCAAGGTGAAACAACCACTTGATACATGACAATGGCCGTAACAATGTATCACAGCTCAATTAAACTTGAACTATGATTATGATGATGAAGGAATTGCAGGAAATAAGACAATTGGCGATGTAACATGAACGTCAGCATACAGATTCTAGCATTCCAGCGTGAATGAGTATAACACAGTTGTGACTAGTAGTTCAGTCATGTCATAGCATGTTTACTTTAGTTTGCAGGAGAGGATGCATACTGAAGATGACTTCGAAGATCACTTTGGTGAAATCCTTGATCGCAAGCAGTGGATTCTAGCAGCTAAGTGTTTCAGCTTGGGGCGATGATTTCCAGATAAGATGATGATGCATGGTGATGATATTCAGGGATGATACCAGATGTTTGGCAACGATGAAAACATGACATGCCACAGACAACATCATGATAATTCTATGAGTAAGCGAGTGAGTATAGTTTTATGCCGCTTTTAGCAATATTCCAGCAGTATCACGGCAGGGGACTTTACAAATGGCCCCCACACCTTGCACCCCTTTTTTTAAATTGCACCTGAAACCTTTGGTGTCAAACAAAGGCTTGTACCACAAGGCTATCCACTTGTCTTTATAACAATGAAGTCTTTAAGCACATGATGATGCAATGCTGTCTCATTACCATGGCAACACGGCATTCCAGGGTATGAGATGATAATGGTAAGTGTCTTAGCAGATGCTACAGGAGGCCAAGGTCCGATGTGTAGTATCAAGATGACGATAGTGAGATGATGGAGTTCCGTGCAACGGGTCACTAACCTGTCTTGTTTTGACTCGCGGGCGTGGCGGCTTGTGCCGTGGTTTTGACACCAGGAATATTGTTGTTAGGTTCAAACGTATCATCATGACAGAGTGTTTTGTGAAGGAACTTCTCGGCCGCACCGTGCCAGTGCCGGGGGAGACACAAACATGCATTTTGTACTGGTAGTCAGAGAGAGAGAGAGGGGCATATGTCAAATACTGGATACCATGGTAACAATGTTAGTTACTATGGCAACCACATTTAAATTTCAATGTTTACAAGGATTCTAGATGATGGATAACTGTACACATTCTTTCTTCAGGCCAAGCACCTGCTGACACAATTTGGACAGTCTGGAGACAAAAAACCTGTATCTGGTAAGGTAAATTATGAAATTCAGATCGGAATTAGACTGACTGACTGACTGACTGAGGTTGGTTTTACGCCACTTTTAGCAATATTCCAGCAACATCACGGCGGGGGACACCAGAAGTGGGCAACACACATTGTACCCATGTGGGGATTCGAACCCGAGTCTTCGGCGTGACGAGCCAACGCTTTAACCATTAGGCTACCCCACCGCCCCAGGTCAGAATTAGAAGTTTACGTCTCAATCATAACAGTAATTAAAGTCCAAATTGCAACATTTTAGCTTTAACCGAGGTCTCGAAACAAAGCAGTATTACGAGTACTACAGTTTAGGCCAAAGATTCTGACATCATTTTTTACTTACATCAGTAAACGGCTATATCATCAACCATGCTAATTTTTTCTTAGTTTAAACAGTGTGAACATCAATGTTGATCAACTTGTGACCAACCCCCATCCCCACAAAATGTTGTGGTTCTGACCAATGGTCAATTAGGGATTGCCTGGACTTTTTTTCCCTCCTAAAAAGAGGTACATTCCATTTATCATATCAGTGTTCACGAATAGCGTCTGACCCTCTGACAAATCTGGCAGATTCGCAAACAGTCACACAGAAGTGGACAACCTGCCGGCCCCAGTGTCTGACTGCATATTTCACAATGACTATGACTGAAGTTGTTATATGTGACATGTCACACTTGGTTGCTGTTTATAAATCTTATGATTGTTAATAATTTCAATGCCAATTATAAGAAATGTTAGATCCGAAATGTGTGTTTAAATTTACGCCATGGGTCCTGTGAATGTTCAATGGGTCAGACAGACATCTGAAACTTGAAACACCATTCGTGAACACTGCCATATTCGCCATATTAAGCAGCCCCCAAATACTCCTACACCAACTGGTAAGTAACATTCGTGTGCCTACAATAATTGAAACATAGTTGATTATTGATCTATTAATGAGCTTCGCCGGGAAACGTGTGCACAGCTGATTGCTATTTCCGGTTCAAATACACACGGTAATCTTAATCTTAATCAATTTATAGAGCAAAAACTGTAACTAAAATTACACAATGCTAGGATACATTTCTTTGGGTTAAATAATGGTATTCTGTATTATATTTTAATGATGACTGCGTCAGAATTCGTCCCGTTATATTATTGTGCATGTTTGAACTTGTTCGCCGGAAAACGTGTGCACAGCTGATTGCTATTTCCGGCTCAGATACACACGGTAATCTTAATCCCTGCAAATAATACAATGCCCAGCAAAAACAACTTATAACTTAAAAGGTAAATAATCTTGTCTAGTGATGTTTAATTGCAAATTTGACGTCTCTACTGACAAAGTCGTCTTCTGTTGTTTGTTCACGCGAAGTGATACGATTTTGTTTTCTTACCCCTGGAAAAAAGTTTGACGAAAGCGTAACCCATGGATAAGACGACCCCCTTCTACAGACTGCTTTTTTTGGTCCTCAAAATTCGGCTTATAGACGGTCATATACGGTATCTATCTGCATATTGTGAGAGGAAACCAGCAGTTCTCACATTTGATTTTCATAAGCATCTTCCTTTCTCAATTTCCAAACCACCATGGTTGCTTTTTAAGGCGAATACAGCTTCTGATAAACCTATCATTAACATGACTGGGATGATTCTTTGTTCAAATTTGGATGAAATTTTGAGATCCTTGAGAATGCTGTGTCAGTACTTAAATTTAAGGGACCCTTAATAATTTAACATTCTACATTAGGGTTTTACTTCTAGGGTTGACAAAGACACCTCATTTTAATGCATTTTTAACACTGGAAGACAAGGAAGGTCCAAAACACAACATTATCAGCCAGTCTCATGGTTTCTGTAATGGCTGGGAAGGACAAGAAGCTCAAACCCCCCCTGACTGAAAGACTGGTGCAAGTTATCATCATGTTATAGTAATTCATCATACAACACAAGATTGGTGACCACAAGACTGACTGAGTGACTGAGTTTGGTTTTACGCCGCTTTTAGCAATATTCCAGCAACATCACGGCGGGGGACACCAGAAATGGGCTTCACACATTGTACCCATGTGGGGATTCGAACCCGGGTCTTCGGCGTGACGAGCCAACGCTTTAACCACTTGGCTACCCCACCGCCTGGTGACCACACGGGAAAGGACATTAATTGAAGATTACCCATAGATAGTACAAGCAAAATCATATTGGAGTTTGACATACTGATTTGTTTTGAAAAATTAACCATAATATCAAGAAAACACTTAAGGATGTCTGCTGGTGTTTGTTTTTGTGTGTTCGCTGTTCAAACTAAACTGTCATGAGTTGGGAGTCTTTTGACAAAGTATTTCAGGCCAATCTATCAGCCATGTGTCGTGGTGCAAGTGAGAATCATGGAGTTACAGTCTACTGTTAAGAAACAGAGAATTTTCAAACGAAATATATAAAACACCAATTTTATGGCCGGTGTAGTGCTTACAGCAAAAGCGAACACAAGCATGATTTTAAACAATGAAGATACTGCTCGTAACCATGTTTTGAGGCTTCATAGCTCTATCTCAATGGAATGTAACTGTGCAGTAGAAATTGAAGGAATTTGGAACCTTTAAAACATATTTGCTAAAAGCACATCACACTAATGTTTGGATGTTGCATCCAAATGTGGCAGATAGTAAGCATGCAGTAAAACGCACAGTGAAATTTGCATCTGAGTGACATCGAATTCATATTTGAATATTGCCACAAACAGAGAAATGCATAAAGTAAACACAAGCAGACATCCTGAAGATAATCTGTATTTCCACTCATATATTTTGAAAACTAGACAGACAAGCTGACAATGACTGCAAAGTAAGCCTGCAAAAAACTGCAATTTGAAGTGCATATTAAAATAATCCTGTGCTTTCTTAATCTGCAGTCACAGCTTGTAGACAGGTGGAGACATGAAATTCTTCAAAGGCATTTAGAAGTTGGTGTAGTAATACATGACAAATCTTATGGATAACAAGTTCTTGGTTTATTTTTCACAACGTTTCTGGGCTAGGTCTTGCCCCTTTTTCAGGTGAAATGCACCTGAAATTTCACCTGAAGAAGGGGCAAGAACTAGCCCAGAAACGTTGTGAAAAATAAACCAAGAACTTGTTATCCATAACATTTGTCTTGTATTAGGTGGGGACATTTCTCAATGTGAAAATTGAGGACGAATTCCTGCATCTGTATCCTTACTGTGTCAGAGAAACCAATATCAAGCAGGCGGAAATATAATAGCAAGCTGATGATGAACAGTGCTGCGGAAACGGAAATGGCGGCGCAACATGGCTGAGCTGAGCAAAGCTTCACACAGTGAACGAAACTGCCGAACAGCACTGGTGTGTTGTGTCAAGACGAGACAAGGGTATGATGGGTAATGTCTGCCCGTGATGATGAAAGTGAATCGTGAACATACAGAGTTTAACATGAAGACTGTCACTACTATATATAGTTGAGTTGAAAAAATAAATAATAGAACTTCAGTTTCTATTTGGTTTTCAGGATGTATGGATTATTATTCCAAATGTTTATAGGTTTTTATATTTTATTTGATTGAAATATAATAAGCTTTTGTCAACAGAAATAAATATGAAAATTTAGACGATATGATGAAAAATGTACTGGCTGGTAAGGAATTAATATTTTTTTCCTTTTCAGCCTTACAAAACAATTGTCTTTTGTAATCCACAAACCAGGACCAAACATCAATGCATTAAGGACAGAATAAAGTTCTTAAGTTAAAAAAAGAATTGCAATGTGGTAACAAATATTTCTTCATAAACAAATGAAGGCAAGATGTAAAATGAAGCAAACAGAAAAACCACCATCCTATTCTATCCTTAACTAATCTAGTAATATGGTTGAATAATATGGATATGAAGTGAAATGATATATATGACTTAATCTCATCAATCTTAGTTCTCCTTTCTGCTAAACAAAGACCTATAGGACATCCTATTAAGGGTTACCCAACAATGACCTTTCATCCAATCAATCAGATGTTTCTAAGCAGGTCTGGGAAAGGACCTGAGTTGAGGTGAAATTGGGTTTAACGTCGTGCTTGAGAATAGTGTGCTCATATGACAACGTGCATGCGTGTGTATGTGTATGTGCGGCTGCTTTCACTAGCCCAGACTGAAGCTGGTTTTATAGTGCTAGCCCACTGAGATACCATGTCGCAGTGAAGCATGAATACCCCACTCAGACACATTATACTGACTGACTGACTGAGTTTAGTTTTACGCCGCTTTTAGCAATATTCCAGCAATATCACGGCAGGGGACACCAGAAATGGGCTTCACAGATTGTGTCCATGTGGGGAATCGAACACGGGTCTTCAGCGTGACGAGCCAACGCTTTAACCACTAGGCTACCCCACTGCCCCTCACATTATACTGACTCCAAGCCGACCAGTCCTTGTTGTACCCATTAATGCCGAGCGCCAGGCAGGGACCAACAAGTACCATATTTTAACGTCTTTTGGTATGACGCGGTCGGGGATCGAACCCACGACCTTCCACTCTCTCCGGGCGGATGCTCTAACCACTACACCACAGAGGCGGTCTAAAAGGACCTGAGGAGAGTGAGTGAGTGAGTTTAGTTTTATGCTGCACTCAGCAATATTCCAGCTATATGGCGGCGGTCATCTGAGGAAAGGAATGTTGCAGTATGGGCATGCTGCTGTGTGGGGTTTCAGCCTTATGTATATGTTCATATAATCAATATTATCATGTTAATGAGTTTCCTAATCATGCAATCTCTGAAATATTAATGTGGAATTCTGAACTGACAGATTCCATCTAAATCGTTGTCTCTTGCTTTGATAACATAAATATTTGAAAAAAAAGAAAAAAAAAAAAAAAAGTCCACGAATATCTCGTTGAAAAGATTGTGATATAATCACAACCATCTGTAACACATTAAAGAATTTCTTTTGATCAGTTTCCAAATTTTGAATTGACATCTGTCCACATATTTTCAAAGCGTAATCTGAAATGGAAGCCTCCAGTTTAAAACTAGTACCATATTGCTTTTGTAAGCTGTTAAGTTGGTCGGTCAAAGTTCTAGAAAGGTCATTCTGACATAACCTGTAACAGGATGTCCTCAGATCTATGTGCAGCCATAGTGAGTACTGAGATCTACTTTTAACGAGACTGAATACGAATCAGCAGAGTGACGCAAGTTTACAACAGGTCTCTAAGTAGCCTGTGCCACCAGTGAGGAGTTTGTGAGATGCAGCTCTCACTTCCACAAACGGGAGATATCATTCAGTGTAGGAGCAGACAGGGTGGCCTTGTTGAGTATGTCATGTTACGATGAGTGGGTATATGCAACGCCATTCGGACATCATGCAGATGAGTTTAGCAAAACAACGAAATGTTTGACACTGAAATCATTCAACAATTGCTCATTTTAACAACTGACAATAGGAAAGACAACTCCCAACAGTTTTACATGGCAAATGTCTTCACTTAGGATCCTTGGTAATCCTCATGCAAAGAGAATAAATGCATTATTCTTGAAAGGAATACACTTATTTCATAAACTTGATATTTTAACAATGCATGAACAAGGTGAACGTAATCAATAACGACTCATAATCAGGAACAAAATTAACACAATACAAAACAGATTTGAAACAAAGAAATAGAAACTGACAGCCAAAATATCATCTATCCCATCTGACGTCCTTTGGAATTGAATTATCTCCCTTTGAAGTAAGAAATTGTACAATTATCTCCCTTTGCATACTTTTGGAGAATGTTTCACAGCCAACATCCATTCACGAAATTATTTAACCACTGTCCATTTTGATCATATGAACAACTAAGAGCATTAATATCCTGACAACTAGTTGAAAAACACATCGGATGAAGCAATTATTCTCAGGAACAAACTTCATTTTGCTATGATATACAAAAATATCCCGATCATGTGTAACAGATAAAACTGAAGATTTAGTCTGTAAAGTTATAGCATTGTGTAGGTTAATAAGTATCCATATTCAATCAATACCTGTTATCTACTATAGGCAAAATACACAGGACATCACAATCTCTACAAGGTTCTGTTGCATTTAATTCAACGTTGATGTTAACTTTATCTAGTCAGCATTAGTTGCAATAGAAGAAAAATTAGTGCAGCATTATTGGCGATGCGTTAGATTAGCTGATGGCGTCATGGAAAGGAAACATTTCCACAAAAATTGTTTCCATTTTCATAAACATTTGACATGCTATAAAATTATCAACACATTTACACACTCATATTATTTTACTAAAGACTATTCTGCTACAATCTGGTCGGAATGACTATCACACTATCTAATCAAACTGGATGGGACCATTTTCTGAACTTCGAGTGCATGCTTTTTATTATTTATAAAACACTATTAATACTACCAATTAGATAGACTTCTTGTTGACAGCCTCATTCCAACATCTTACTACAGCATGCTAACAAGAAACATACAGGCAAATTTGAGCATACCACTACAGTTAAAGCACATTATGAACACTGATTTAAAAATCTACACATAAAATTACTGATAAATTGGAAAAATATACATCTACAAGCTATGTTCAGGATAATCTAGATAGGGTCACCCTTTGCTCAGCTGCCTGCTGGTGTTAGTCAAATGATTACTTTTGAAAGAAAAACATTTACGGTGAACTCTGGCTGCTTACTTTCAAGTCGAACAACAAAGTAACTATTAAACATAATATTTTATGTGTGTAACAGTCACTGAATGTTACTGCACAATTTACATGTTTGCCACAGCTGTTGAATACTTAAAAAATGTCCACGGTTAAAATTATGTGGTAGCTTCGCAATGCTGGTCAATTTGAAACCCCAGCCCATCTCAATAAGAGTTTTATTCATACTGATTTTCAACTGCCCCATCAAAATCACATATAAAACAATGTGACAGTTTAAAAAAAAAAAGAAATCAATTTTTTTCGGTCATTAAAAAATCAGAAACTTGTTTCATTTCAAGGGTGGACAAAGGAAGGGCAAATCATGTGACTTAACAATCAGCAGTCAACTTTTCGGAGGGGGGTTGATGGAAGTGCAAGGAGAAGACTACAAACCCAAACTACTCGAGGAATTTCTCCTCCATGCAATATGATGTCTGCTCCCATGCATGGCGTGGGCGGTGTGCTCCGCCATGCTACGGCTGTGGGGTTCACACGAGGACTGCTGATGCTGATGTTTATCCTTATTTTCCCAAAGCTTGCGCAAATGATTGTATGTACTAACTAAACATGTACAGTCTTTAGCAGCGACTGAAATCAACAGGAAATCAAAAGAAAATCACACATATTGAAACAACACAGTACAACAACTGGCATTCCTGGCCAGACTCGTGACATGAATGAAGCGAGGTGTACAAGCAACTAAGCATGCAGAACGAGCAACACAAAGAAGCATGCTTGAAGTGACCGTGAATGAATGTCATGCCGGGTTGGTGAGGAGGGGGTGAGTGTGACATGCTCGGTACTGATGAATCATCATCATCATCATCATAATCACCTTATAACCATATCTTAAATAACGTTTACAAATTAATCACGAGTAATATCAACATACTTCCATATCTTTATCCGCGATACACATTAACGACCTTGACCTTATTGCTCACAATGCAACTCTTAACAAAGAACCTTCACATGCCATTTCAACTAAAATCAGAAAATTTGTGAGAGATTCCAGTATGAATAATGAAAGGTGCTCTGAAGCAGAGAAGCAAGTCATCTAACCGAAGCTGAAATTTCGAGCTGACTAAGCATGTGTTGCAGTAACCTGGTAACCCAGCATGCAGCCATGACAACGCAAGTGTCACTAAGACAGCCGAGGCAATGTGGCAATGGCAAATGAAACAAGCAGCAGCTAGGAAGCAAGAGTTGCAAGCAACGGTAAGAGGGACTTGCCCGTATCATGCTACTGCAGAATAAGGAACAAACAAACAAATCAAAGTTAGCCTTTGAATTTCACATTAGTACAACAGCAACAACTAGTAAAATAAGTTCATCGGTCCACTCTCTTGTCCAACATAGCCTAGCCCTGAAATTTCACAGTAGCACAATAGCAACAGCTAGTAGAATCAGTTCTTCAGTCCACTCTTTTGTTCAACATATCCTAGCCTTTGAATTTCACAGAAGTACAACAGCAACAGCTGTACAATCTCTTCTCGGTTTATCCTTGATATCTCAATACAACAGCAACAATCAGTAAAACCACTGTCCACACTATTTTCCAAAATACCCTTGCTTTTGAATTTCATATCAGTACAACAGCCACACCTAATCAAATCAGTTCTTCCAATTACTTGTCCCAAACATCCTGGATGAGAAAGCTTTTTTCATAGCAGTGTTTGTATAGCACATAACACCATAGTTATCTCCCTTTGACTTCAAAGGAGCTCATAATTTTTTCAAATTTTCCTTGTGATAAAAAACTGATCTAGACAAATCGAAAACACTTTGTCAAGATTTACCATCCTCCGTAAATATGCTCCAATCATTCAGTGATATTCTATGTCAGTCATGTCCAAGATTTTTGGCAACAAACATTTGTTCATTGTCCTTATTCGATTCACTTTAATATATCACATTCAAACGTGTGTCATAGGCACGTAATAAGAATGTACTTCTTGAGCACTAGCAAGGCTAAATATTAGGTTAGTAGAAGCGAATCACCCACAGCCATTAATATCTAATTGGCAAGCCAATAATATAAACAGAGACAAAATGCTTATTTTCATCACCAAAATTGAACATAGAAATATACATCTTAACATGTATTCAAGTTTAAGCAAATTGAAATTAAATACTTTTTAACTTGTCTCATATTGCAAGCTTAAAAAGCAAAGCAAGAAATCATCGGCAGAAATGTTGGATTCTCTGCACAAACTTTCCTTGTCAAATTGACGAACCCCCATAACCAAAATAAACTAACCAAATCCAAATCTTAAGATTCTTCTTGGTTTTGAAAGGACAATACCATTTACATTGAAAGGGGAGACAGGTAGGTATATATAACAAACTCTTCAAATAAGAAACCTACACAATAATGACCAAATTGGTATGATAATAGATCTGAACAGACAATTCCATTCACCCTGAAAGGGATGATAAGTAGGAAGACATTCTACCAAAAGACATTCTACTGCAACTACCACTGCCTTACCTGATGCACTATGGACACTCCCTGCACTGCCATTACCTCCGCCACCAGGGGGCACTGCACCGACAGGTGGGGGTGGCATGCCATCGACGAAGCTGCCGACGTAGCTGGTGTTGTCAGTGCTTGTGTAGCTGTATGGGGGTATATAGCTGAGGTTCTGGGGCAAGTAGTTGGAGCTGCTATAGGGGTATTGATTGTTCCAGGCAGGGGGCGGCAGGGGGGCGAGGGTGTCGCGGTCGGCTTCCGATACAGAGTCCACATCTTCAAGACTCAGTGATGTCAGATCTGGAGAAAGTGGGGCGAATATAGAATGTTTTCCACCATTTAACTTACATTATGCCTATAGCAGATACAATTATCATTCCTGTAGCAGATAATATTGTTACCTGTTGCATAATACCACGCTCAGCAATTTTTCAGCTACGTGGAATTTGCCTTTAAATAATCAAGTCTGGACCAGACAATCCAGTGATTGATACTGTGAGCGTTGATCCATGCAATAACTATAGTCAATGACATGCAACAAAGTTACTGAGTGTGACCACATCCATCTGGTCGCCAATCTTCGGCATTATACAATTCTAACTCAAAGTTAAAACAACAATAAGTTTGTAACACTGATGCAGTATCAAACAAAATTTACGAATATCAATGCCAAATGTATACTGAACTGCCACAGAAACATATATATTAACAACATGGACAATAACGAAGCAGAACAGTCATAATAAGAAATGTAAGGATCAGCCTAATTCACATTTCGCATTAAATGTATTAACTGCAGTCCATATTACTCAAATCGTATCAATACACATAGAAATATTTTACTTTAGTATTATTTGATATATTGTAGTACTATTCAGTCGATATATTGATGCCAAAACTTCCCATCAATGATGCCAGTTTATAACTATTTTCAATATATGAATTAATTTATCCGTAGGAGTATACAGGTAACAAATGCAATCAGAGACAGAATGCTTACCTGGATACTGAGGAGGACCTGAAACATGAGAAGGGAGCAAGTATAGGACACAGTATAGAACATAGTACACGACATATCATACACCAAATAGTAAGTCTTTATAACGTTTTGGGTTGTTTTTCTCCTATCAGCAATATTACATCTGCAATAAGCCTGTATATAGCGGGCTGGACAAATCAGTGGTTGATATAAAGAACACTCTCTCAGAGTATAATGTTTGATTGTTATGGCTTGTTTGATCTTTAATGCAATATTCCAGCTATGTAATGGTGGCTTGTATATAATCGACCAGACAATCCACTAACATAATGTAAGGACAATCCTTTCATGACAGGAAATCAATCAAGTCACAGACTCCAACAGTCGAATCTGGCCTTGTACTGTGAGCATAGGATGCTGGGTATCTATTTAAAAGCTGAGTTCTGAACAGAAAGTTATTGTACTGCGACCATCTGACAATATTAGTTGTCAAGCAGACCACTCAAATTTGAAATCCTTCTCATGGAATTCATAAAATCTGACATAAAATGGTGAGTTACTTAGTTTGGTCTAGAGCTCCTACCATGGTTTGACAGCCTTTTATAGGAAGACATCCTAAATGATTCAGGTTTTTTATGTTTACCACCAATCACAGGTATCGTACTGATACAACGATAAACATCATCAGGGTGAATCTTGGATTCGAACACCAAAAACGATTAAGGATGACAACTGTACCACAGAGATCTCCAAAGACATAGTAGCACTGTTCTGAATCTAGGATTCAAACACTGAAAACGATTACGGTAAGAATCACAACTATACCACAGAGATCTCCAAAGACGTAGTAGCACTGTTCTGAAAATGTCAGCTTGTTGACTGTGTGCCGGATGTAGCCAGCCTTCAGCAGATTACATGCATATTTTCTTGCATCTCTCCGGTCGGCGAAACCCTCCACGTGCGTAAAGAGCCAATCTACAAGATCGGAACCTGAAGAAAAGAATAAATTACTTGATTATCATGTAACAACAAGTGTAGGAACAGCAGCTGATTCAGTGTCATCTGTCCAAGACAAAATATGATTCTATAAAACCACAATTTCAGTCGTCGCACACAGATTATTAAATGAACACGTTTCCCTATCAACAACTGAATACACTGGTAACAGAACTTGTTACGTAAATTCCTAATATATGACATTTAAGATACAGATGCATGGGGATATCTCTTCACCATATAATGTCCTTGAAATAATCACTGTTTAACACTTATTTTCGCTCAATAAAGTAATGCAATAATAATAATAATATGGGTTTTTTTGCAGCATGAATACAATATTTGAGTGAATCACCCCACTTTCAGTTAGTGTAAAACCGCTGTCATGTTTGACTGTACAAACCAAATGATCAGGAAATCCCTACCTGAACTTATTTAGGAATGAAGACAATAACTCATTGATCAAGTAAGTGAGTTAAGTGTTACGCATCTTTTAGCAATATTCCAGCAATATCACAGTGGAAGACACCAGAAATGGGCTTCATATATTGTACCCATGTGGAGAATTGAACCCGGGTCTTGGGTGTGATGAGCAAATGCTTTAACCACTAGGCTACCCCAGCCCCCAAATTGATCAAGACACTGCATCATTCAATGAAGAAACACTGAATCAACTTGATTACAGCTGTACTGTGAGAGCTAAACTACCCAAGGACTGTCCAACCTCGGTAGCAATTGCGGCCACTGGATTCCCAATTAGTTGTGTCAAGTGAGTGAATATAGTTTAATGCCACATGAACAATTTTGCAGCTTTTCCTAGTGATAGTTGTCCAATCAACATTGACTTGGTACAGAAGCCTTTTGGCTCTAGAACATCAAAGGAAGGCTCACCTATAAAAGCATTTGGTATCGTTATTTTGAGCTCTAGAACATCAAGGGAAGGCTCACCTATAAAAGCATTTGGTATCGTTATTTTGAGCCACATTCTGTCTCGGATTTCCAGCCCTGAGTCTGGTTGTGCCATTGCCTTGACAACGGTTGCCATGTCAGTGTTCACTGTGAGATTTAAGTCATCAAACCCTGAAAACAAAACAATAGCTTCTAAATTTCAGTTCACATAAAATATACATCCAATTCCTGACAACTTCGGACCAAATTTTCACATAGCATCATAGCATGATTGTCAAACTTACATATTCAAAATTATGACATGTAACAGATTAGCGTAACACTCAAAATAACTTGAACACCAGGATTAATGTTGGTGTGTTGAGAATCCGATTCTCTGCCCAGAGTTGGCAGTAAATGACCATAAAAATTCCGGGGTTGGCAGCAAATGACCACAACAATTCTCTCATTAGAAGTACAAATTTCCTGATTTAATACATATAGGTTTAAGCAATATTCTGGATATTTAGAGATGACTTGATTTCACTGAGTATCAGTGCTTTACCCCTTAGTGCCTGCCAAGGACACTTCATTTGGAATCCTGGATGACACTAATCTCAGATGAAGCCGAAACAATAAAATTAAGTCATCTTGATCAGCATACTAAGGTTAATGGCGGACAAAGCATAGATAAATATTTACAAAATATTTTGATCATAAAAAGAAGGAAATAGAAAAAAGAAGTCTTGTTTAAGTGTCAGTAGTATACAGCCATAATTTCAAACCTGACAGGAGTGAATGGATGAGCTGTCTTTTTTTCAGTAACATTTCAGGAAGAAATGGGCTTCATACCATTAGACCCATGTGGGGAGTAGAACTGAGACCATTTAAGCGACAAGCAAACGTTGTAACTACTTGGCTACCCCCTCAGTCCTAAACCCTGCCGAAAAAATACCTCGTCCGTTCTTGCGAACTACTGGTAAAAACACAACGATGAAACTTCATCAAAACTCAAATTTCATGAAGGATGCTGTGAAGTAAGGGTCAATGTGTTCTAGGCAGTTGGGAAGGGCTATTTTCCTTCCCACACCTTCTAGACAGATGAATAATCTTACGTTCTGACTCAGGTATAGAGCTAGTTAATGAGGAGCTAGTTGACGTCATATTGCTGATTGAGGTGCTGGGTCCGCCACGCCCCATGTAGTGTTCCCGCATAGCAGTCGTGTGTGCCACCCACGCCGATGGGTCGATTGGCCGAACTGGCTCCTGTCTTGGAACTGTGAAATAACCTTTGGGGTTCGGGTCCCAACATTTGGCAACGACTAGTGTGATTGGACTGAAAGGAGGTAACATAAATAAGTTATGACATAGACGTTTCCAATGGATAATGGTAATATCACATCAATTTCATTATATATGCCACTATCTGGACTGAAAAAAGAAAACACAAATCAATTCTGACATAGCTGTTTCCAATGGAGTGAGTGAGTTTAGTTTTAGGATGCACCCAGCATTATTCCAGTTATATGGGGGGTGGTCTGTAAATAATCGAGTCTGGACCAGACAAATCCAGTGATCAACAGCATGAGCATCAATATACGCAATATGGATACCATGACATGTGTCAACCAAGTCAGCAAGCCTATGTTTCCAATGGATAATTGCAATATATGAACATCTTAGAAAACTACACAACATATTCATTCTACATGCCAATTTCTACATTAAATACCTTTTTTTATTGTTTGTATATTTTACGAAGCTGATTCACCAACAGAATGTTGTTTAATGCTTCAGCTTTTTGACTGCAATAATGCTGAACATGTAATAACAATCTGCGAAACTGTTCAAGTAAGCTATGGCATTCAACCTACCCCGGTTTCTGTACTGCCTCTCGTAGCGTCCTTACAGCATCATCATTACTCATGTTCTCAAAACTGATACCATTCACCTCGAGAATCATGTCCCCTGGTTCAATGCGGCCATCTTGAGCTACAGCACCGCTGAAATGAGGAAAAATGAATTCACATAACCAGGGCTTGACATTCACCCAAATTCGTGAACAAGACCACAGGACCAGTAACTTTTAAAAATCACTGGTCCTTACAGATTCTTACTGGTCCCGCTAAGGTACTCTTATTGACAGCCTTAAATATCTACTAGACCGTCGGGATAGCACTTATCAATATTGCACTGATCCTGTCAACATTTTACTAGACCCGGGTCAGTGGGATAGCGTGAATGTCGAGCCCTGCATAACTAAAATGATCTGTCAACATATCATTCTTTGAGGTTGGGTGGTTTGTTGTTTAATGCACATTCAGCAATATTCCAGCCATATGGCGGTGGTCTGTAAATAATCGAGTCTGGATCAGACAATCCATTGATCATCGTTCTACGCAAATGGGAATACGATGATATGTGTCAACTAAGTCAGCAAGCCAGACCACCCGATCCCGTTATTCACCTCTTACGACAAGCATGGGTTATTGAAGACACCAGTTCTAGCCTGGATCTTCACGGGTACCAGTTATAAACCTACATAACTGGGATGCAATCACATGCAAGGGGGTTTGCGAGCCTGACTGACTGAGTTTGGTTTTACGCCGCTTTTAGCAATATTCCAGCAACATCACGGCGGGGGACACCAGAAATGGGCTTCACACAATGTACCCATGTGGGGATTCGAACCAGTGTCTTCGGCATGACGAGCCAACGCTTTAACCACTAGGCTACCCCACCGCCCTTGCGAGCCTGACCATTGTTCCCGTTTACTGTGCTTTCATGACCCAGATTGTCATGGGTAAAGGGCTCATTGAGGAATCAAGGGATCAAAATCTACACTTTCAATCTCATGTTTTTGATAGATGTTGAGTGTGGTGTACTTACCCTTTCATGATGGAGCCCACGTAGATGCCGCCGTCCCCTCCCTTGTTACTCTGTCCCACAATACTAATACCCAGGAAGTTAACTGTATCTGTAACACAACCAACGTCACTGTAACACACAAACATCATGGAGCACAAAATCCTGTCTGTTGCATACCAGAGGCCCAGATAAGGCCCAAAATATGCACAGAAAATTTCCAATTACGCATTGAAAAACTGTTAGATACGCAAAGAGTTAAAACAAACGCGTGTACGGAATATATTTATAAAAATCGCTTAAGTAATGAAAAAGACATCGATTGCTATCAAGTTGTACTGTTAGTAAAGGACTGGTGTTGTACTGTCAGTATAGGATCAGTGATTTTTTATGAAATCATTTCCATTACATTTAAGTTGGTTTTGATTAGGTATGACATAAGGCAGAACATACCTGCTTAGTAAACTTACACAATACTCAGGTGAGTAAAATCACTGAAATACCCACATATTTGAAAGCAGTGGGTAACGGAAAATGAAATACCCACTCAACATTCATAATACCCACTCCCAAAAAATACAGTGGGTACAGTACCCACATCAGCTAAATCTTATCCGGAGCTCTGCATACAATCCCCACTGTAACACAAACCATGTCTCTTTCACACAAATGTTACTGTAACTCAAAGTCTCCATTGTCGACACAATCCCCTCTTTCACACAATTGTCACTGTGACATAAGATCCCCAGTCACACAAACCAACATCACTGATACAAACAGAACAGAGTATCAACTTACCCATATTAAGTGTAACTGTTATTATGTTGAGAGACATTGTAGAATCGGTTATACTGCTAAATGATGAAGCCTGAAACACAACAATACACAAAATAACTAACTCAATCTCAGATTGTATTGTCTGATTACAAATGACAACCCTTTTCAAAACTGACGATAGTCTGCAGTCTTCAGTGAGTGAGTGAGTGAGTTTAGTTTTATGTCACACTCAGCAATATTCCAGCTATATGGCCGCGGTCTGTAAATAATCGAGTCCGGACCAGACAATCCAGTGATTAACAGCATGAGCACTGATCTGCGCAATTGGGAACCGATGATATGTGTCAACCAAGTCAGCGAGCCTGACCACCCGATCCCATTAGTAGCCTCTTACGACAAGTATAGTCGCCTTTTGTGGCAAGCATGGGTTGCTGAAGACCTATTCTACCCGGATTGCAGTCTTCAGTATTCACTTACTGCCACAGCAGTTTAACTTCTCAAAATGCGAACTTTAGAACATTCTGCTCAAAGACTGTAAGTCAAATTTGATAACATGAGTGAGTGTGCTTTGTTGAACATCACTTTTAACAGTATTTCAGTTAAATTATGGCAAGTAAACTTCATGTCAGGAAGTCTGGTGAACATAACCAGTTGTAAGGTAAACATTATACTGTCCGATATGATGACACAATATGGCCAGTCAAACATTGTGACCATTCAATCCTCTATATCCAGCTCTATTACAAGCATGAGCTATTTAGGACCTATTTTCCCGTGGCATCAACACAAGGGCAAATAACCAAATGATAGAACAAATCAATATCATTATAAGTCTAATTGCACATTAGCATGTAATTTGGACTAAAAAACTTGATTTTGGAAAAAGAATCCTTGACATCATCTTACTCTACTGATAGGAGGCGGCCGATGTCTCCTCCGCCGTTTCCGATGGCGACCATATCGTGATGACATTCCTGTTGTATCAGTAACTGTTGAAAACCTGTAAATACAAAATACAATGATTTGATTGGTTTGCTGCACTGAATAGTCTGGGGTGGAAATAACCCATTGCCCGACGCCCGAGTCAAGTGTTTTTTACTGTCGGGCAAGCAAATTTGTATATCACACTGTACCGGTGTCCAGTTGATATTCAAATTTGTATATCACACTGTACCGGTGTCCAGTTGATATTCCAATGTTAATTATGTTGTTTATTTAAAAAATCAACAACAAAGTCACAATTGATTGGTGTTGTTAGGGCGTATAATGACTGATCCAAATTGATCCCATATAGTGGAACAATTATCAGGGCAAGTGATTTTTTACATGTGCCACTGTACCTGATTTATCACTTTTCAGATATTAAACTGTAAGCACTAGTGGATATTGAGTTTCCCAAACAAGGTAATGGCCTGAATATTAAAGTTGATTTCCACCCAAATATAAAGACGCTTGATAGTATCTCAGATATAGGTAGTAAAATATTTATTTTATTGATAAGCACACCAATAGGATTTTGCATGACATTAACATAACACATTTATCTCCATGTCGACCAACCAGTGGCAGCTGATCAGGTGGGTGTCAATATAATACATCGTGTTTGAGAATATTTCGGCTCATATGACGATCGCATGCGTGTGTATGTGTATGTGCGGCTGCTTGTACTAGCCCAGACTGAAGCTGGTTTTATAGTGCTAGCCCACTGAGATACCATGCCGCAGCGAAGAATGAATACCCCACTCAGACACATTATACTGAGTCCGAGCCTACCAGTCCTTGTAGTACCCATTAATGCCGAACGCCAGACAGGGACCAACAAGTACCATATTTTAACGTCTTTTGGTATGACGCGATCGGGGATCGAACCCGTGACCTTCCACTATCCGGGCAGACGCTCTAACCACTACACCACGGAGGCGGTCTCCTGATTTATGTACTGAGATACACCACAATCTATTGAACGGATTATTTCGTCTGTAACTAGTTATAAACCTGAATAAAAATTGATCCATACACATGGATGAGTGAAAAAAGAGGAAAATGAGCTAGGGGTCTTGGGGGATGAAGGTTTAGACGATTCACAGGTATGAGCCCAGCGCTATCTAATCCGCAGATTCGTGGAAAATTGTTACCCCTGCATACATCCTATTCTTGGCAACTTTGTATTCATTTACCATTGTGTTGGGTGATTTTATGGTCACAACACATGCATAATAGACAAAATAGATAAAATTAGTTGCAAAACAGCTTTGCTATTTTGACCCTAGGTATCACTTGTTAATTTCTGAATTTTATGAATTCAACTGAACTGTAACCTCTACCATTAAAATATGTATGACCTGTGTAAACGCAGCATAATTGTATTTTCTAATTGGACTGTGATGGATATTCATTGGTATACTGGTAATATCGTGCTCCTCTCAATGACACTTCTTAAAGTGATAAACATTCTAAAGCCTTAAGATGCATAAACTCCTGCTAGTAGAATAATGCAAACTTGCATTCCTGGATGGCCATGCTAATGTGCTTTCTAAGATGCCTAGCGGTTAGAACAATCGAAAAAAATTCATTATCAGTCAATAAACGTATAGTTTTTTGATGATGTAACAATTGAATGACGTTATCCCATCACTGCGCCATTCTAGTGTGCCCCCTCGTAATCGAACCATTTTACATTACGTCACAATGTAAGCGAGGTTACGATGCATGTCAGTTGTCATCATCTCGTACGGCCTCCTACAGTAAACTACTCCGTTGCATCCCGTTTCTTGGTTTGCAGTTGCTTCATGCAGCTAACATCACTGGTGGAAACAAGTGTCCTCGTACTTTAACTATAATAGTTCAGGGCGAAAGTGTGCTTTATTACACTATACATGGTGGTAGAGCGAACTGTATTTCTTAACTAGATGAGGACATAGAAGTATAGTAACCGTCACACGAGGCAGCTTCAAGAGGGTCTCTGAGGGTTCTCAATATTCAGCACCAGAGTTAAGGGTCCTTGTAACATCCCTAATGTCATATGCTCACACATGAGTATTACGGCTGTTACGTTCACGCATGTATTTGGTGAATTGAATCATCGCCCTTGTCTGTTATTTATCAAAGTGAAATATGCAAAATTGATAAAATACAAGCCATGCAGTAGTGTCAACCCAATATGGCAATAAGTGGCAAGTTGTGACAATGTCGTGATAAATTAACAACATCCAATAATTAATTTTGTTATTGTTTCTAGTAAAGAATACATCAGCTACTGACTACTACTACTACTAGCTATTTGTACTCATTACCACTTATTCTTGATACGTACTGTATTCACCTAGTATTGATTTCATTACAGCCCCAGTGAGTGTTTCACTGTTTACGGACATACTAATGGCTATCTACCAGCATTGATTACCTGCTGATATTCATTAATATCAAAACGAAGTAGTGATAGTGCTTAAAACATGTCCTGTGATTGGATGATTATGTTGTCATAAATAGCATCAATACCACTCAATAGCTACTGATTCAATTCCAATAATTTCAATGCCATATGTTGATATCCAGAAGGTATTTTATTTCTCTGGACACAGCGTTAAATGACCAAAGGTCACGCATTGTACAAATGATCCTGTGTGACAGCTGGTACAACATGCAAGCTAATCAATTTTCTGTACAATAAGGATTTTACAAGAACACACAGTGACAATACACAAATCTCATCACTGCAAGGTCTAGGTTTATATGGGCGTCTCACCTGCTATCATCTTCTGAGTCGAAGAAGCTGGTGGTTTCGAGATCACTGCTCATCATGGTGGACGTCTCGTACTGATGGGGACCAGGGGGAGGTCGTTCTCGATGTCGTTCATGCTTTGCATGGCCATTAATCCGGGGACCTGAAATAAAAAATATCAACTGTTACTTAATAATAATAATAATAATTAAATCACTGACAATCTTTAAAACTGCCTAAAGACCTCCACCGCAGTGTAGTTTAATTTTGTGTAGCTTAGCTCGCTGGCCATTGTCAACTGAAATCGACATCATCTCCCATATCTGCATCGCGGACCACGCTTTGCAGTGGTAGTCTCTATAGGAGATATCGCCCTTAGCGCCTTCCTTCAGACTGTCGCATGCTTTGCACGGTAATCTGCGTGCTCGTGCTGTAAATGTCGATGAAACTTATGACACATTCGGCAAGGTATCCCTGGGCCGTCGGTGATATAAAGAAGTCCCTATTTCGTTAAATCTGCCCAAACTTTGGGTTTTGAATGTAAGCATTATTTATGATGACTGGTACGTTGTTGAAAGTCTGTTTCGCGTCCATATTTAGCGTGTTCAGCCTGGAGTTGTGGGTGAGTTTGTTTGGTACTCTTTTCTTTCATTTGGGGCACGTCTCAAACAGTTTTTTCCCTTTTCCCTGCATTTGTGCAATTTTCAATGCCATATGGCCGACAAACGATCAAATTTTTGATATGCATGTAAGAACACGAAATGTCAAGCATCTTCTGTTGATGCATACTGCCAAGTTTTACTGCCTTCCGTGCAGAACCTGAGCAGCTATGCTGTTTAGAATGTAGTATCATCAGAATCTGACGAAATCCAATATGGCCGCCAAGCAATGCACATTTTGACATGCACCCAAGAACAAACAATGTTCAACACACTTAGTTACTACACGCGACTGCCAGATTCTAGCTGCATAGTTGCGAAGTAATGATGCTGCGATTTTTGAAAATACATTTTAGTACAAAATAAACAACAGAAGCAAACATCTAGATATCCGTAACTAATTAAGATATCGCAACATAGCTTATGGGCATCAATATTTGAGGTATATATTGTATATCTGCACATTTACAGCGCTTTGCAGTTCATACATTCAGAGTTATGGCTTATGTAAAAATGCCTACCCCCAAAATCTGCAAATTTCCTCGATAAACATCTTCAATCCAATATGGCCGCGCATCACGTGACTTTTGACATAGGACCAAGAACAGAAAATGTTCAACAACCAAAGGCCACTTCAGAACAAGCGCTCAAAGTGTTGTGTGTGGTAAGTTTCGTTTGGCACAGGACAGGCAAGTAGCCCGTGAAAGTTTTGAAGACAACTTTGCCCAAAAGTAAGCCCCAATATGGCGGCCATCATATAAACATAGGCACATTTGACGATGCTACTGTGTAGAAACATGCATAGACACAAAGTATGCATCGCTTGAAAGCCGTAGCCCTTGTAGTTTTAGTGCAGCACATTTTGGGAGGTATGCAGTCAGGATTTTGCTGAAAAACATCACCAAAACTTCAATCCCAAATAGCGCCCAAACGGTGTATTTTAGCGACTCGACCGGTCCAGGCAAAATTGTAGACATTTTGATTGGGCATCTGCTCAAGAACTTTTAGTAGTCATTGGATCAGTAGTTTTGCAGATATTTGCTGCTGAAATTGAAATTTTTAATTAATTTTGAATTATCTGCCCTTTGGTATTGGGCCTAGAGCCTTGAGATTTTTGCCAAAACAACTTCAGCACTGTGGGCATCTGGGTGATTTTTTTCAAGCTTTATTCAGTCCGCTGGTGCTCTTTGTAGGAGTGGAACAAAATCGCGGAATAAGAAATAATAATAATAATAATAATAAAACCGAACGATACAATAGGTCTCCTGCCTAAAGGCAAAGGAGCCCTAATTACAAAATCGCTATTTTGAGTTTTTCGGGTTTTGACCCCGAACTTGATAGTATATCAAAAATGCTTTCTAATGGTCAAGGTCACCAAGGTCACGGGGTCAAGGTCACTTGACCGGTCCGTCACAAGACAAAAACAAGTGTTTTGGCGAGCTAAGACGCCGCTTGTTATTGCCTCTAGGGTGAAAGGAATCAGTGTTTCTGCTTTGCCCAGACCCGATGTATCCTATGCGCTGGTCAGATTTAGTGACAAATATGTCCGCCCGTCTGTCCGTATCGCCTGTCCGCCAAAATACTGTATAGTTAGTATCTCCGAACTATTAAACGCACAGAGTTGCGATTTTGCACACAGCATCCCTCGACTGTGCCTAACGATGCTGTAAACATCAAGCCATTTGAATTTCAACTTCTGTTGCTATGGCAACCTGATAAATGGAAAACTTCAATCCAAGATGGCGGCCAAACGGCTAGAGATATCGAAGCTGGGACAACCAGACAAAAATGATCGCATCTCATGACCGAAGTCACATACCAAATATGGAAGCGATTGGAGCAATAGTGGTGGAGTTATAAGCTGTTTTATGCCGCTTTGGACACATCATGCATTTGTGCAATTTTCAATGCCATATGGCCGACAAACGATCAAACTTTTGATATGCATGTAAGAACACCTAAATGTTAAGCATCTTATGTTGATGCATACTGCCAAGTTTTACTGTCTTCCGTGCAGAACTTGAGCAGCTATGCTGTTTATAATGTAGTATCATCAGAATCTGATCGAAATCCAATATGGCCGCCAAGCAATGCACATTTTGACATGCACCCAAGAACAAAAATGTTCAACACACGAAGTTACTACGCACTGCACTGGCAGATTCTAGCTGCCTAGTTGAAATCTGTCCAGCGGTGCTCTTTGTAGGACTGGAACAAAATACGGCGGAAGAATAAATAATAAAATGATGTTATGATAATAATATTAAAGTTGCGAGCAACAATTGACGGCTCCTTGGCTTGGATCATTTCTAAACATTTGGTACCTGATGTCGAAAGCAGTAAAGGTTATAGCTGATATGGATCGTATCATTGTCAGTAATGAGAAATACTTCAGGAGCCGATTTTACTAGCTTTACTTCAGCTAGACCAGAGTTACCCCCTTAGACCACAGCTAGAACTTTTACCCCTGACCCGAACGCTCAATCACTGACAATCTTTAAAACTGCCTAAAGACCTCCACCGCGAGTGTAGTTTAATTTTGTGTAGCTTAGCTCGCGTCATTGTCAACTGAAATCGACATCATCTCCCATATCTGCACGCGTGGACCACGCTTTGCAGTGGTAGTCTCTCTCTATAGGAGATATCGCCCTTGCGCCTTCCTTCAGACTGTCGCATGCTTTGCACGGGTAATCTGCCGTGCTCGTGCTGTAAATGTCGATGAAACTTATGACACATTCGGCAAGGTATCCCTGGGCCGCCGGTGATATAAAGAAGTCCCTATTTCGTTAAATCTGCCCAAACTTTGGGTTTTGAATGTAAGCATTATTTATGATGACTGGTACGTTGTTGAAAGTCTGTTTGCGCCATATTTAGCGTGTTCAGCCTGGAGTTGTGGGTGAGTTTGTTTGGTACTCTTTTTCTTTCATTTGGGGCACGTCTCAAACAGTTTTTTCCCTTTCCCCTGCATTTGTGCAATTTTCAATGCCATATGGCCGACAAAACGATCAAACTTTTGATATGCATGTAAGAACACGAAAATGTCAAGCATCTTCTGTTGATGCACACTGCCAAGTTTTACTGCCTTCCGTGCAGAACTTGAGCAGCTATGCTGTTTAGAATGTAGTATCATCAGAATCTGATCTAAATCCAATATGGCCGCCAAGCAATGCACATTTTGACATGCACCCAAGAACAAACAATGTTCAACACACTTAGTTACTACGCGACTGCCAGATTCTAGCTGCATAGTTGCGAAGTAATGATGCTAAGCATTTTTGAAAATACATTTTAGTACAAAATAAACAACAGAAGCAAACATCTAGATATCCGTGAACTAATTAAGATATCGCAACATAGCTTATGGGCATCAATATTTGAGGTATATATTGTATATCTGCACATTTACAGCGTTTTGCAGTTCATACATTCAGAGTTATGGCTTGCGAAAATGCCTACCCCCAAAATCTGCAAATTCCTCGGATAAACATCTTCAATCCAATATGGCCGCCGCGATCAATGACTTTTGACATAGGACCAAGAACAGAAAATGTTCAACAACCAAAGGCCACTTCAGAACAAGCGTTCAAAGTGTTGTGTGTGGTAAGTTTCGCTTTGGCACAGGACAGGCAAGTAGCCCGTGAAAGTTTTGAAGACAACTTTTGCCCAAAAAGTAGCGCGTCCAATATGGCGCCATCATATAAACATAGGCACATTTGACGATGCTACTGTGTAGAAACATGCATAGACACAAAGTATGCATCGTTTGAAAGCCGTAGCCCTTGTAGTTTTAGTGCAGCACATTTTGGGAGGTATGCAGTCAGGATTTTGCTGAAAAACATCACCAAAAACTTCAATCCCAAATAGCGTCCAAACGGTGTATTTTAGCGACTTCGACCGTCCAGGCAAAATTGTAGACATTTTGATTGGCGATCTGCTCAAGAACTTTTAGTAGTCATTGGATCAGTAGTTTTGCAGATATTTGCTGCTGAAATTGAAATTTTTAATTAATTTTGAATTATCTGCCCTTTGGTATTGGGCCTAGAGCCTTGAGATTTTGCGAAACAACTTCAGCACTGTGGGCATCTGGGTGATTTTTCAAAATCGATTCAGTCCGCTGGTGCTCTTTGTAGGAGTGGAACAAAATCCGGAATAAGAAATAATAATAATAATAATAATAAAACCCGAACGATTACAATAGGTCTCCTGCCTAAAGGCAAAGGAGCCCTAATAATTAGTCCATTTATATTGCGCTAAATCCACACCGACAGCATGCTCATAGCGCAGACAAGACTGACTGACTGAGTTTAGTTTTACGCCGCTTTTAGCAATATTCCAGCAATATCACGGCGGGGGACACCAGAAATGGGCTTAACACATTGTGCCCATGTGGGGAATCGAACCCGGGTCTTCGGCGTGACGAGCCAACGCTTTAACCACTAGGCTACCCCACCGCCCGCGCAGACAAGATAGAATTTAGGAGTCATTTTAAATACATAGAGAAAAG